CCACTTTGAGACCCGCCGTGGGGGAAAGCTGGGATATAAATATATTTCCTAGTGCTGATTAGTGGACCGCTCATTCTGGCCTCAACGATGATCTTTAGGGTGGCTGTCTGGTTGTGGCTCTTGCACCATGGTGGGTGGTGCTTTCTGGGTTTTGATGACGCAACAATCATGGTACCAAAAGACTTGGGGCAGACGCCTTCTCCAGGTGCCCTCCCTGAAGGAGATTAGGAGGGTGGCTACCTGGAGAAGGGCCTTCTCTGTGGTGGCACCCCAATAGTGGAATTTGCTCCCCAGAGAGGTTCACTTGGTGCCATCACTTCGTTCTTTTCAGCGCCAAGCCAAAAACTTTTTATTTTCCCAATGTTTTAAGACCTGTTTTAATTGGGGTTTTATTATTAGTTAAATTTTAGGACTGTGTGTTTTTTTTTAAATACATTTTGTATTGTTAAACTGTCCCGAGACTTCGGTAATAGGACGGTCTACAAAAATTTTAAATAAACAAAAAAATTAATAAAACTATAGAACAGACTTGATGCTTTTCTGTTCATGGTTCCAAAAACCAGGCTGAAATACCATGATGGGGTTTGGGCAACCTGACAAACCAGGAGTGGTAAGAAACCTTCATGGCCTGTCCTGCGTTGTGAACCTGCTCAACAGAAGAGCTACCTTCAGCCCTGGAAGGTGCCAATCCTGTAACTTTTGCAGCTGTGAAGAAGGAATTTTGCTGGGTGACGTTTCTTCCACTGGGACAAATCCCCATTTCTGTTCAGAGTTTAAAAGGGCCCCTGATTCCCACTGTGTCTGATCACGGAACACTTTGGACCATTCACAGTCTTTTTCGGAGTGAGCTAATCGACTTAGGTCAGGGCTATACCACTTCTGACAGGAGGCAAACCTAATTCCGCGCTTCTGCATTAAAAAAAGGAGACATCTCTGATCATAGAAATCCAGTCTGTCAGGGAGAAGGTTTACCTATGCATAACACCTTCAAGAGCAGGAGTTCTAGTTGCGTGATTTTGCAATTGATTTTTGCGCGTCAGCTGTTGCGCAGTATAAAAATGAAATAAATAAATAGATTGGATTGATTGATTGATTGATTGATTGGAGGAGTTATCACTGCAGTGGGCCCTGATCTGCTCTCCGAAGTGGAATAAAACAGATGGAGGTACAAAATCTCAGAATGGGATATAGCAAGCCCAATTTTTCTTTCCCTCCACTTTTCTTTTGCTTTTTCTTTTTGCAAATGTCCTGGAGAAAGAGCCATTGGATTTGCAATCCTTCAGGCGTCAGTCTTGGGTTCTCTTCAGGAGATGGTGTCTCTGGCCAGCCGCCCCATCTTTGCACCTTCTATGCACCCCCCCCCCCCCCCGCACATCACGGTTGCAATTTCCAGCACTGGTTTTGTGCCCCGCGAGGATGAATATCTTTTAATTGTTTTATTTATACCCTGCCTTTTCAGCAATGAAATGGCATTTGAGATGGAGAACAATATGTTTTTGAAATAGACTTGATCAAAACAATCCTAAACCAAATGTATTTAAAAGAAAATTTAAAAACAATTTTGAAAAAAAATGAAATTTCCAGGGTTTGGAAATGCTGCCCTGTGAGGAGAGACTGAGGGAACTGGGCATGTTCAGCCTTGAGAAGAGAAGGCTGAGGGGGATATGGGATTCCTCTATAAGCACCTCCAAGGCTGTCCCAAAGAGGAAGGCCAAGATCTCTTCTTGCTGATGCCGGAGTGCAGGACATGGAATAATCAGGTCAAGCTGCGGCAACCCAGGTTCAGGCTGGACATCAGGAAAAGCTTCCTCATGGTCAGAGAAGAAGAGTGGAACCAGTTGCCTGGAGAGGTGATGGGCTCTCCCACACTGGAGACATTCAGGGCGAAACTGGGCAGCCACCTGAGTGGGATGGTGTGAACTGGTGTCCTGCAACAGCAGGGGCTGGACCTGATGGCCTTCCTGGCCCCTTCCAACTCTGCTATTCTATGATTCTTAAACTTTGGTGCCCAGAACTGGACACAGCATCAAACTGCAGATGGGGTTTAATCTAGGCAAGATCTCTTCTTGCTGATGCCAGAGTGCAGGACATGGAATAATCAATTCAAGTTGCAACAACCCAGATTCAGGCTGGACATCAGGAAAAGCTTCCTCACTGTCAGAGCAATACAGCAGAGGAACCAGCTGCCTGGAGAGGTGGTGGCTCTCCCACACCAGAGGCATTCAAAAAGAAACTGGGCAGCCCTCTGAGTGGAATGCTGTAAACTGGTGTCCTGCAACAGTGGGGGGTGGACCGATTGGCCTTCATGGCCCTTCCATCTCTGCTATTCTCTGATTCTACGAAATGAGAAAGGCACCCAAACCAGCAATAATGGATTGCGTGCTGTCTTTATTCTTGTTGTGTTTTAAATGTGGAATGAAAATGTTTTTCTGTACTAGTGAAAAGGCTGCAGAGAGGGAGCAAAGCTAGCCGCCTTTGGTAGGGAATTCCACCACCTGGGAGCAACCGGGGTGTTGGGGTTCAAGGAGTCCCAAGGAGATTACAGTGTAAAATGCAACAAACAACACAGGGAGAGCGGAGTGAAGGTAGATACACACTGAGAAGCAAATGAGGTTGTTTTAGCTGTATGTGTGTAGTTTTGGCTATCAGCAACTCACACACAAACTCATGACTCTATGGATGGGGAAATCAGTGGTGCTCAATTTGCAAAAATGCTCAGTATTTCACCTCAAAACTTGGTTCGACTCTTTCCTGTTCTCATTTGTGCCCTGGTTTTGTTTTTTTGGTTCAGTTTGTTGAAATGAGAAAAGTGTGCATTTCAATTGGAAGCAGTGTGAATTTGTCTTCCTGTTTTAAAAACAGGAAGACAAAATTTAAAAACTTGCATTTTAAATGTGTTAGAATATGTTTCTTGAAATGTGCATTTTTAAAGGTGAATTTTTATCCAGTGCATTTTTAATATGCACATTTACCAAATACAAGCAGACATCTGGGCATCTCGCAAGCATACTGGAGATCACGGACTCCCACTCGTGGCTGGGCTTACAATGGGACGTTACTGTGGATTTCTCGTCTGTCCCTACATGAATCAGTTTTGGAGAAATGAATATGTACATAAGAAGAGCCATTCCGGGTTGGACAAGGGTTCAACTCATCCAACGTTCTGTTCACACCACGGAAAAACCGCTGTCTGTGGGAAATCCACACAGTGATAACACTCAGCAATCGGGGACCCAGGACTACAAGTGCTGATGATTCAAGGGGGCAATGCCTTTTCTGGGTTCTCAGATGAATTGTTAAAAGAGTTTCTCTGCTACAAGAAGGTTGGTATTGCAGCCACAAGAGGGAGATGCGGCCCAGATTTTTATGCTCCGAGAAGGAAACTGCTCCAGAGAGATTTGGAGAGTGAAGATGGAAAAGCTTCACTGTGGAACCAGGGAGTTCGGCTGATGAGGCATCAGCATCCTCAATCGTATGCGGCACTTACAGTTTCTTTCCCACAATTCCATTACAAACACACCTTTACAAACGCCCATGTACCTGGGAATAAGCGCCACTAAACTCAATGGAACTTTCCCCTGAGTAGACTTGGTTAGGATTATGCTGCATTTTTTTAAAGAAAAAATTATTATGTATTATTTCTTTATTCGATTTATATCCCACCATTTTTCCTTCTGAGGAACTCAAGGAAGCTTCCCTCATTCTCTTCGGCCTGCACTCCATCCGAAGTGCACAACAACAGCCCTGTGGGGTAGGCTGGGCTGAGAGTCTGCGGCTGGCCCAAAGTCACCCCATTGGCCCCATGGCTGAGCATTGACTAGAACCCGGCCCTCCTGGCTCCCAGCCCCTTGCTCTGGGCTACCATACCACGCCGGCCTTTTGCAATCAGGTTCAGCCGAGGGCAGGATTCCAGTCTCAGTGAGAAACTCATCAGCGGGTTGTGAAAGAACGGCCCTATGCCAAAGAGATGACAGCTTGGGATAGGGCGAGGTCCACCCCCTCTGCTGCCTGATCACGTACCCACAGAAGCACCACTTAGGCTGCAGGCTGAGCTCTTTCCAGGCGGCCTTTTCAGACCAAGGAAACCTGTAGAACCTCTTTCCTGGAATGCCAAGCTCAGCTGTTTCTCCTATCAGCGCTTTGGTCTTACCCTACTAGGCATCTTTGGTGGATGAAAAGCGCCTTATCAACCGACCCATTGCCTTTGCATCTTATCTTGCTGCTGCTGCAATTTGTCTGTCCGCAGCTTATATCACCCAGTAAATATTGTCAGATTCAAAGGTGGGAAAGCTCATAAAACAGATGATTTGGACAGGTGGAGCTCAGGGAGGATGGTGAGGGCCACATCACCGAAACTGGCCTTCCTTGGCTCCTGCTCAGGTGTTTGCCTCTTTCTGTCATGTCATTCTCAGCAGAGGCAATACTATTATTAATTACAGGGGAGTTATGAAATGAATTTGGGTGCAAGCCCACCTTTTCAAAACGCGACAGTTCATTCCCCACTTCACTTCTCTTTCCTCTGTGGTCCAACACCTTCTTTGCTTCTTCTACCTTCAACCATGGACGGGTATTTTATGGTGGGCATGTCGTGAGCAGAGCCGGCTGGAGCCGGGGGTCAGACTAGATGGCCCGGGAGACCCCTTCTGACTTGCTCTGTTTCTATGTTTTATGAAAATTAGGAGGTGAATCCTTTTCCTGCTACTTATATCCAGGCCAGGAAAAGCTTTGCTCACTAGATTTCCACTTGTCAGGCTGCTAGCAAAGGCAGAAGAGTAGAATCATTTTTAAAGATATTCATCTGCACCTCTTGCAGCTGAGACTGTGAGTACACATTTCAAGATGGTTTGCATCCTTCAGCCATCAAATATCACCCAGTTTTGCAATCCACGGAGAGTGTTGCTGATCTGATTTGGCTCAATGCGAGCCTCCACGTTGGGGCCGAAAGGGTTCAGCACAGCCAGCTTCCCACAGGTGATGTCCCTCCAGTTCTTTTGGCTCACCTTTGGTTTCCTCCAAGACTTCGCCAGTCAATTTCCCCACTTCCGCCACCGCTGCCCAAGGCAAGCCTTTCTCGGCCGCGAATACCAGGCTGCGGTAGTGGACGTCCAGTTGGATGCTCTGGCGCAGATCCCGGATTTCATCAAACTCTCTCCATCCCAGCAACTCTCTCAGGTACTGGCGGCCTTTTTGCTGCTGATGGAGACACAAGGAAGAAATAGGATGACTGGCTGGTTCTTCCTGCCACTTGGGCATTGCCAGAAAGCAGGAGACGAAAAAGACACTTCTATGTGCACAGACTAATTTACACACATCGATGCAATTTGGAAGCAACGGCTATCGTTTCAGTTGGAGTGCAGGATATCTCACCAACATGTAGAAAACGGTGACATCCTGTGCACTCGCTCGCTCGCTCGCTCGCTCTTCCGTCGTCCAGGTGCTCTACCTGCGGACGGACAATTTCCGTCCCACAGCACTCCCAACTGTTTCTTGGTTCTTTCTCCTTGGACAGCCCTTCACAGAGAGGCTGGTCCTCTTCAAAGCGGCCACCCTACCCAGGATTTGGATCGTTTCCAGGCCTTAGGATGTGCCCGTGGAATTTTGACCTGCTGTGGGGTAGGGACAATCCTGACACAAGCCAAGATGCAAACCTGAATGTGGGGTGAGCAGGGAGAACCAGGTTGCGACGTCTGATTTCAGTACGGCCCAGAAGAATACTGACCGTTGGGGCTTGCTTGAATAGCTCAGAGAGACCCCAATTCCATCTAGAATTGGAATTTTTGTTTCCTTCACTCTGCAGGCCAGTCCTGTGCTACATTCTACTCAGAAGTAAGTCATACTCGAGTCAGTGGAGTTTACCTCCAAAAAAAGGGGTCATGGGCCGATATCTTTCCTCCCCGTTCTGCAAGATTTCATTCCAAGGTGTCATGCACTCTTACTGCACTGAGATACGCTTCCACCCATTTATTTCCATGATACAGTGACAATGCTTGCATTCTGTACCCCCTTTGTGGTTGGGTTTTCTTGGTGGTTGTTGTTTTTTAAGAAAATAATCTCTCTGGAGCAGACAAACTTCAGAGACACACAGCAATCCAAAACAGGCCCACTGCAATTCATGGAGGGATGTGTTGGGGGAATCCAAATAAATCTTTATAAAGGTTGTTGATATGTATGTTGTTGTGTATTTTATTCGATGTTGTGAGCCGCCCCGAGGCTTCGGCAAGGGGCGGCATAGAAATGTTTTAATAAATAAAAAAATAAAAATAAAAATGTGTCTTTGTGATAAATTTATAAATCAAACCTGCTGTGTCCCTGACCCTCTTGCCCAGAAAGAAGCAGAATCCCCAGCCGGGCCCCTTTTTCCCTGAAACTTTATTAGTCATCTGTTTCTTTAAGCGACTGAGACTCCTCTCCATTTGCCTGAGGCAGCAGCTGCCTTGAGTTGCAAAGTTAAGCTTGACACATTATTAGCATTTCACTGCATCCAGGCCCTTTCTGTCAATCTGCTGGGCTTCGGCAAACAGCCCTGACTAGTTTTCCTGTTATGTCAGGATCCACGTGTCTTTCTCCTTGCCGTATCAATACTCTGTAATCACTTATATCTACTGTACCGTTCGGTTGTGTCCCCTCTGCAGTTTACTTGCATTGCTTTGTACATTATTGTACATTATCTGCCATCCTTGCTCATCACTGAGCCCTGTTCCTGGGCATGTGATCAGGAACCTATAAAACATTCTGTGCATGTTCTGGAACCGCACAGCACTGCTCATAGAATCATAGAATGGTAGCGTTGGAAGGGGCCATGAAGGCCATCGAGTCCAACCCCCTGCTGTTGCAGGACACCAGTTCACACCATCCCACTCAGGTGGCTGCCCAGTTTTGCCTTGAATGTCTCCAGTGTGGGAGAGCCCCCCACCTCTCTGGGCAGCTGGTCCCACTGCTGTGTTGCTCTGACAGTGAGGAAGCTTTTCCTGATGTCCAGCCTGAATCTGGGTTGTCAGAGCTTGAATTGGTTATTCCGTGTCCTACATTCTGGCACCAGCAAGAAGACGTCTTGACCTTCCTCTTTGTGACAGCCTTGGAGGGACTTGTGGAGGGATATCATGTCCCCCTCAGCCTCCTCTTCCCAAGGCTGGACATGCCCCGTTCTCTCAGTCCCTCCTCACAGGGCAGTGTTTCCAACCCCTGGATCCTTCTTGTTTCCCTCCGCTGGACCCTTTTGAATTCCCCTGCATCTCTCTTAAATCTTGATGCCCAGAACTAGACACAGTATTCCAGGTGAGGTCTGACAGGTGAACTGCTGCTATCCATGATTTGGAAGTAATACTTCTGTTAATGCATCCCAAAATAGCATCTGCCCTTTTGGCGGCCGCATCGCATTGTTGGCTCATGTTTAGCCTGTCAGCCACAATTACTCCGAGATCTTTTCCTTTTTCTGTTCTGCTCATGAAGTTTTGTCCCTGCAGAAGGGTTTCCCGGGTGTTCTTACCAATAAAACTGCTGAGGTTCATAACACAGAGGATCCAAGTGCACATTCTCACCCGCTCCTAAACCGGATTCCTTGGGAGTTGCAAGGCCAACTCCGGTGATTTGCATAAGGGCAAAGCCATGCTGGCCTTGTTAATTAGATTGCAGCAGCAATCCCAATAATTTTTGCAAAAGACAGCTGTTAAGGCAATCAACACTGACTGCAGTTGTGTGTGTGTTTGGGTTTGTTTGTTTTTGATTTGTTTTGCATTTCTAGCCTCCAGGAAAGTCTATCCTAGAATACAGTTGCGAACATTTAACCCACCCAAAACTCTTCAGGAGTGAACAGGATGGAGGTCTAGTGCAGGGTCTCTACAGCACAAACCAGAAGGCTAATGGGGCTGCCGGGGTGGGAGGTGGGGGGCAGGATGGCAAGCAGAGCTTGTGGCAGAAGGGATGAAAAGGTCCACATGGAGGCAGCCACTGCGGAGCTAAAGGGAAATTAGCAGCATCTCGGAATTCCTGCTGGCACTTGCTTGTCAATTGAAGTTAATTTACCTAGGCTCAGTTAATTGCTAAGGGACCTCATTAATACCCCATTTGGTCACGCACTGCCCTTTTGCAACGAAAGCAAGGAAGCTTATGCTTCTTTATTTATTTATATTTATAAGTAAATTCATATTTGCGGAAGTTGTGGGCTTTTTTGAGTCCAAACAGGAGGGAAAAACAGCCAGGGTGCTTTCGTAGCTAAGGGAGTGGGACTGGGATTCAGCCCTGGAGCTCCCTGGGTGACTTTGGGCCAGTCATGGACTCTCAGCCCTACCTACCTCACAGGGTTGTTGTTGCGAGGATGAGCGTGAGAGTGGGAGGGAGAGAATTATGTAAGCTGCCATGAGATCCTTGAAAGGGAAAAAGGCAGGGTATAAATAGAGCAAACAAATACGAATGCTTGCATGCATGCCATCAGATTGCTCATTAAATCTTTGCTCATGAACCTTCCCTAGATATATTAGTATTATTATTAGTTTATATGCCTCCCCATAGCTGAAGAGAGTTGGAGGTTCGTATTCACCACCTGTGGAAGATTGCAAACTAGGAAGTCTGCCAGAAGCTCGGTGCTGACAGGACCTGTGGCCACATTCTCAGAGTGGTTTTCCTGGGAACACAAACATCCTGGCCCCAGTAATCCAATTAGCACATATCCTGCAGCGCGGAGGATACAATCTGATCCGTGAGATTCCTGACACATCAGAGGAAGGCCTTCTCTGCACACCACGCAGCTGAACTGCGGAATTCACCTCCACAGGATGCAGCAGTGGCACCCGGTCTAGATGGCCTTAAATCTGCCCCCCCCTCCACCCCACAACCCACACAGCAAAGGATCCAAGGGTGGTGATGGGATTCGGAGTGTGAGAGATCTGGGCTCTAGTCACCACCTGGCCACAAAGCACCCTGAGTGACTTTGGGACACTCACAGACTCTCAGCCCAACCTGCCTCGCAGGGTTGTTGTTAGCATAAAATGGAGAGAGAAGAAACTTGCAAGCCGCTGCAGATTCCTTGGAAGAGGAAGACAGGCAGGATACATACTGGTCTTGTTTTAGGGATTGCTGTCCAGAGAGTTTTGGCTATGGGGCAGTATAGAAAGAAAGAACAGAATCCATATAATACAGACCATAATTTTAGTCACAGGGGATTGGGCAAATGCATGGAGAAGTCCCTCCACGGCTACTTTTCCTTGCAGCTCAAAGCGACACCCAGCATCAGGGGCCGTAAACACCAGCTGCCGGGGAACATGGGATGGCGGGTGCTCTGGTGCTCCTGTCCTATGCTTGCGCTTGCCGTGGGCAGCCGGTTAGCTCCTGTGTGAAGAGACCCCTGGAGCTGAGGGACCCTTGAGCTGACACAGTACGCTCTTCCGGCACTCTTGATCCTGCCTCCAGCCTCGGGCCATTGAATCGATGCTTTCAATGAATTCCTACACAGCCCTCTGCCGTTCTAATCCTGCTTTGGGGTGTCTTAGCTCCGTCAAGGCCATTTTAGGATCACTGGCAGCTCCAGGGGACAAGAAATCCTCCATTCTGGCCACAAACGACGGTGTGTTAGACCTTGTGCTAACAAGAACTTTCCAGCTGCCACAGCTGTTCTTCATTTTCCCATCTTTTACTTCTGGGGATTCTGAACTCTGGCTGCCAAACTGACTTTCGCGATCCCCATTTCAGCTGCTACGGATAGTCCTTTCAAAAGTCTGCAAAAGTTTAAGATAAAAGTTTCGCCCTACCCCTGAGTTTCACACACGTGTGAACACTGTTGTCGTTATTGCTGTCATTACCCACACCTGCATTGTTCAGAGTTGCACAGCGATGGGCAAAGTTGGGTGGGCAATGTGGAAAGGAAGGTTCATTTCCCCCTTTGTTCCACTTGACAGCGGTTAAAAATACAAGTTACCTGATGCAACCAAAGGTGTGATTTTATCTTGCAAAAGCAGGATACCACCCTATTCACCCCCTTCATGGCAAGTTCCTCAAGCTTTTGGTGATTATCGTTGTCTTCAGGGTGTCCTCAGTTTTGCACTTGTTCCTGAGAATCTGTCACTTCAGGAATACGGAAAAGTGTGAGCCAATCGTTCATGAGGTATGAACGACATGCTTGACAGCTATCAGGAGTCAAGCTCTATTTTCTGCCTAGGCTTTCAAAGAATGTTTCTTCTTTTTTGGCCAGGAAACAAGAGAGGAATATAAAATCTACACCCTACATAAGGCAAACAAGTCAGCCTGTATGAAGACTTCCCCTCCTCCTCTTTAATTTTCTTTGCTCTGGCCCAGTGCTCCGAGTGCCCTTAATATCCCACAATGCACTCACAGAGCATCACTGCAGGGCATTGTGGGAAACTAAAATGGCAGCTGCTTGGAGTGCTTCTGCCCCCCTCTGCTGCTAGGCATGACCCAGAGGTGTAGTGAAGCCAGGGCTCACAGACACCCAACGCCACTGCTTTTTTTAATCAACAGGGACAATGGCAGAACCGTCCCCACCTGAGATTCTCTGTTTCCTCACAGCAGCTGTGGGGATGGCTTGACCCAGCAAAAATAGATTGCTCCCTGCTGTAATGCCAAGTTTTTTGGGGGGTCTTGCGTGTGAATCGACAGATGAAACTGAACAGCATAATAAAAGCCCCACTCATGGTGGAAATTAAAATGGCTAAATGACTTCTTTTACATTGTTATTTATTTTATATTGTTAATTTTATATTGTTATTTTTGTATTTTCTTGTATTTTCTTGTGTTGTAAGCCGCCCCGAGGCTTTGGCAAGGGGCGGCATAGAAATGTTTTAATAAAATAAATAAATAAAATGGCTAAAGCCAGTTGCTGCTGCAGTGAAATGATGCTCTTCCTTGAGGACCTGGCTGTGCAGCCTTCAACATTATTCCCGTACCACCAGTTTCTGCAAAGGACATTTTAATCAGGGTGCCCCCAAATCCAGGATCCAAGTTTTTCAGAAGGTTTCAGTGGCTGCCCTATTTTACAGCGTAAGCTTCCTATTTCTTCCGAAACGTGCGTGGTGGTAGTTCCCCTCTGCTCCTCACTAGTCAGGCCTCACCTGGAATACTGTGTCCAGTTCCGGCCACCAAGATTTAAGAAGGATGCAGGTAAATTAGAAAGGGTCCAGAGGAGGGCAACAAAAAGGATCCAGGGTTTGGAAACACGGCCCTGTGAGGAGGGACTGAGAGAACTGGGCATGTCCAGCCTTGGGAAGAGAAGGCTGAGGGGAACATGATGTCCCTCTATAAGCACCTCAAAGGCTGTCCCAAAGAGGAAGGCCAAGATCTCTTCTTGCTGATGCTGGAGTGCAGGACACGGAATAACCCATTCAAGCTGTGACAACCCAGATTCAGGCTGGACATCAGGAGAAGCCTCCTCACTGTCAGAGCAATACGACAGTGGGACCAGCTGCCTGGAGAGGTGTTGGCTCTCCCACACTGGAGACATTCAGGGTGAAACTGGGCAGCCACCTGAGTGGGATGGTGTGACTTGGTGCCCTGCACCAGCAGGGGGTTGGACTAGATGGCCTTCATGGCCCCTTCCAACTCTATTGTTCTATGATTCAAGAACTTTTGTTGTTCTGGAAGAGCAGCTTATAAGGAAATTATATGCAGTGACTCAGTCCTTACACTGGATTCTTCATCCTTCCTCTTCACTCTTTCCTTGTGTGTCACATCTTTTTTAGATTGCAAACTCACAGACAGGAAGTGTTTTGTTTATTGACTAATTATAAGCCGCTCCAGAAAGCCCTTTTTAAGCTGAAGAGCAGGATAAAAATACTGTAAGTAAGATTAATTTTTTGAAATTTAAACTATGGCAGGAGTATAGTGAGGGGAAAGAGAACTTTGCAAGCATCTTGGAAGAAAGAGGTGGATAAAAGCTCATTAAAATATGAAGAAATATAACCTGCATATCTAAGCAATCCAACAATTCAGTAATTAGGTTTCTGTATTTCGGAAATTCTCTCCATATGCTCCCATGCACATCGGAAACCCAATCTGAAAAGCCATCTGACCTTAAAACCTGAAATATCGAAGAGCTGAACCTAAACATTCCGTTTCAAAGCTCAAACCCTGAAACGAGAAGCCCTTGGTGTGAACCCGGCTAGAACATTTTGCTGCAAATACGAACTTTCCCCTCGGCTTTATCGCGGTTTCCACGACAGTGAATTTTGGCACGCTGCTCACTGCATGACATCAGGGTCTCTCCCTAGCCCTTCCCCGTGCAAAAATCAGCTTTAACTTGTGTCGCTTTTATTTACCTGAAGCTGAATAACGGCTGCTACACCCTCTGCGGATAAGTTGGCCATCCTTCTCGGGATGAGTTGCTAGGCGACGTCGGCTTGTAATGCACAAAAACACGGAATGAAAGAGGGAAGCGAAAGGTTCTCTTTGAGAACCTTCCCTTCCAAAGGCAAGTGAGGACACATTACAAAGCACATGAAAAATGTCCCGTGATCACGGCCGTCCCCTCGCGAGGTCAGGAGGTTTTGGAAACATGGCTCGCAGCAGGTAATTTAGTGGCTGCTTAGCCGAAAGTTGTCATTTGGGCAAACGACCCCAAACTTCTCCTTGTAAAGAAGCCCAACTCTACCCTTTATCCGGTTACCTGTGTGAAAACCCCACTGAATGCAATTGAACTTACTTCTGAATAGATGGGTATAAAATTATACAGTCAAAAGGACTGTGCTGTGTTGCGGTTGGGCCTTGTTTAACTGGTTTTGCAAGATTTTGGCTCTGTTCCACTGAATGGGAGAAAACACAATTTTACTTCTTGGAACTCTGACAAGCTCTCACAGAGGTGGTCAACTTACATGTGGAAATGCAGAAGAACGTTGTTTCCATCTGCTTTTTAGCAGGGTTTATTCCATTTTCTGTTCCTGGAACCCAAGGTGGGCAGCATTTCTGAGCTTGCAATGGGATACGGACAGCCAAAAAAAAAAAAAAAATGCATTTGGAAAATGCATGTGCTTAAAAATGCACAGAAAAACACATGCATTTTAAAAATGTGCATACACCCTCCTGAATCAAAGAGATCCAACTTAGTATAATGGAAAATATGCAGGAAATGTGTGTCTGAAAATAAACTGTGAAATAGGCACACATTTCTGGAGGAGGGGAGTGGGGAGCGCACTGTCTGGTGTGGACTTGACATTGGCGACAGAGACCATCTATAAAACATTTTATACAAGTTTTCTTTATACAAAGTTGCTCACAATACTTCAAATGCATCCATTTCCACCCTCTCAGCATTCTCCGCTGTCCAGCTTCCACCCCAATTTGCCTGCAAACACCAGTTGCTGAGGCGCTTGAACAGGCCAAATTCTCACCCCATTCTGCTAGGGGGATCATGGGGGCAGCTGGTTTGCCTCCCCATGAATCTTTGTATTTTGGTTTCCTTGTAATCGCCTTGACTTGGATGCAATAAAGATCATCGAAGGGGCAGGAAGAGCTTCAGCAATTCAGACCGTAGGGTCTGATTCTGGCTTGGGAGACCCAGCAGTGCTTCTCCCTGAAGCTGAAGAGGCCTGGATCAGGCAATGAGGGAACCTGTCAGCTGCCTGCCCCCCTTGGGAAGCCAGTAATCTTCATAACCTTATCAACTCCAGCTTGCAGATGGCTGCGGACACCTAAGCAGCTTTTCGACTCATCGTAATCCTTTTCTGAGCCACTACGAAACGGGGAGAGCAACTCACCACTTTCTTTTCATAGTTTAAGAGAAGCAGGCTCCTTTTGATCGGAAGCCTCCGTTGCAGGATCCGAGAAGGTCGGGCTGATTTGGAGCATTTGCAAGATCCCTTCCCGCCTCTGGAAAGCTGATGGGTCAACCCGCAGAAGATGGAGCACCGTTTTGGTCTGGAAACGGTTCTCGCCTCTGATGCTCTGGATTTTCCATGTTTGTTCAGAAGAGGAGACACAGGCCTTGCTTTGGCTTGGAGAAATTAGAATAATGACCCCAGATCCCCTTCATGGCGGTAAGTCAAGAGAGAGAGATGGTTGAATTCTCTTAGCATGTTGCAGAATGGTCCAAAGCCCAGGTTTACCAAAGAACTGGGCCTTAGCCCTTTTCCCTTAGATGGCACTGCAGCCAGGGCTGCAACTCCCAGTTTATTTACTCCAGAGTAGCCCTATTAAAATAGATAAGCCTCTGATGGTTTAGAAGTCTACATTGGCATGGATCCCATTCTTGGTAGCTAAGTAATTTTAGTCTTCCATTTGTGCAAAATGGTTCTGAAGAGAAATGATATCAAATCCCTCTTGAAATATCTGGCATCTTGCAATCTCATTGTTCATTTTAAAAAAATCACCAGTTGCTAGAGCTCGTGACTGTAGCATACATCTTGGAAAGGTCTTCTTCCCTTCTTCCGGAACACCCCCAGCTTTGTTGAATTTAAGAAGTGCGATTTTGAAAACATATGCGTTAGGCAAGACTAATGAAATGGATTTTAATTTGCCTGACTGATTTTGGTTGCAGAATCTGTGATTTTGTGGCATGTGTTGCGGATAGCACAAAATGGAAACTTCTCTGGGAATCTTGTAACAGAAATTCATTGAAGAGTTTTATTCAAGGACTGATTTTCACTCAGCATCACAACCTGAGCTGAGTTCCAGGTCATGCCACCTGTGCTGAGACCTTCTTTTCTGTGTTTTGGTCGCTGGCCTGATTCTGCTCAGATTCAGCACCAAATTAGAATTGAGTGCATGGCAGTTAAGCACCAGAGAAGATGCTTTGGGATTCCAGGCTGAAAAGGCCAAAATGAGCCCAAATTCTGCCACACTGCCAGCTTAGCATTGGCTGACATTTTCCAGCCACCATCTTGGGTTGGAAGAGGGTTGAATGGCAGTCGGGGATTAAAATGACATTGTAGGACAAATGCAGTAGGAGCTACAGGTTTTCCAGTTCGAAGCAAAGCCTCAGCCTCAGACCATGTTTGGAGTACTGGGTAAGATTTGGGGTAGCACATTTTAAGAAAAGGAGCTCCTCTAAAGGGGGACAACCAGAGTGGTAGGTCTGCTCTAGAAACTCCCCAATGAAGAAGCGTTGAAAGAACTGGTATAGCCAGCTTGGAGAAGGGAAAAACTTTGTAAACTGCCCAGATAGCTTCAGCTATGGCTGCTATGGAAATGAAATCAACAAATGTTCATAATAGTAATGATCATAATTTTAAAAAACCAGTGGGTGGCACTGGCAAGGAAATGCAATTCAGTTCAATATTAGGAGGCATTTGGTAATCGTATTAATGGTTTGAAGTGGGACCGTGTGCCCCAAGACATGAAGTCGTGGAGGTCCTCTTTTGCTGAGGGTATTTAGCATCTGCTGCTGGGCATCTGTCTGGGCTGCTGTCGCTGAATCCTGCATTGAAGATCCGGCACTGAGCAGAGGAAGGACTGGGCAGCCTTCAAGATCTCTTCTAAATCTACGCTTCTGTGACCAACAGTGGTGGGTCTTCAGGCTCTCCAGGAAATTTTATTTATTTATTTATTTATTTAGCAAACTTCTATGCCGCCCCATTCGCCGAAGCCTCGGGGTGGCTCACAACAATAAATAAATAAATACACAACCATATAAAACAATATAATTGCAGACGTCCTGGCCAAAGATATAAAATCAATAAATAATATTAACAATTAAAATGACGTTTCCATAAAAAGGTCTTCGCCTGGTGCCGAAAAGCAAATAACGACGGCACCAGGCGGACCTCTCTGGGGAGCGCGTTCCATAAGTGGGGCACCGCCGCAGAGAAGGCCCTCCTCCGAGTACCCACCCTCCTAATGTCCTTCACGGAGGGCTCCTGGAGAAGGGCCTCTGCCGCTGATCTCAAGGGGCGGGTGGGCATATATGGACACAAGCGCTCCTTTAGGTAAAATCTGTGGTAAACTGTTCTGCCCCCTTGAACCCAGAGGAAGCCTGCCCAACTGACTTCACCTGGCTCAGTTGATAGAGGTCCCCCCTCTATCAACTGAGCCTTTGTTTCGTGGTCACACGCCATGTGATGCCAGAGCAGGGACCCATCTTCTAAGATTGTAAGAAGAGCTGCCCTGGACCGGCCCAAACCAGCCTTCCGTTCCCATCCTGGCCAACTGAATGCCTATGGGAAGACCGAGAGCCGGAGAGCAAGAGAACTTCTCTGGTCTTGTTTTTGAGCAGACTGTTCCTAAACATGCTGCCGTGGAGACCAGATCTAGCACGTGGCCATAAATACTTGGAGCCATGGATAGCCTTCTCCTTCATTAACCAGGACGGCCTCCTTCTAAAGCCACCCAAGCCGTCACAGCATCCTGTGGGAGCAAACTGCATCATTGACTACGCTCTGTAGGAAGGAGGCCCTTCCTTTCTTTGGCCCTGCATCTCCCGCCATTTTGCTTCATGGGATGATGGCACCAAGCTCTGGTCTTACGAGAGGAGATGAGCATCCTCCCAATTTTTCCTACGCTAAACATATTTTTATACACACCTCTGCCATCCGGTGTCCCCTTACGCAGAAGTTTTCTTCTGCTCAAAGCCCTTCAGATTTTGTAAACTCTCTTCATAGGGGGATATTGGATTGCACGGCCTAGACTCTCTTGAAGCTTGGGGGTGACTCATAACACTCCAAAAATGTACATTTTGAAATATCAAGCCTACAAGGGTGGGGAACATCAGGCCTGGGACCCAAATTTGGCCCATTTGGGGGGGCCAGTCTAGCGATCTAGAGGTTCCTAGATGATCAGGCCAACCGGGGAAGCCAATAGGAAACAAACCATGTGTTCTGTTTGTGGGTTGTTTGTAGCTAACAAGCCATGATGTGTAAGCACAGCCAGGTTCAGACAACACAATAACCCACGGTTCCACAGCAACCACACTCAACCCATGCTCAGTTCCTGAGAGTGGGTTATTGTTGTCTGAACCCAGTCAGAGTCAGGTATTCCTGAAGTCCATGGGCAGTTGTGGAGCCGAGAGGAAGGAGAGACTCCCCCAGAATCAGACTGCAGGCCCTTCGGTGAGTGGAAGGCCCCTTCCTTTTACCAGGCTAGGCTAGGCCAGGCTAGGATGCCCCCAGAGTTGGGAACAAGATCGGCTCTTTCTCAGAGGAAGGGGAGGCAAAATGGGGCAGCCCCTCCTTTGGAGGGTTTAGCGCATCGGCAACTGCTGGGACTGATGAATGGTCATGCCTGGGGCCTTCGTGGTGGGTGGCCATGCATCCTACCCTAGAGGCAACAGTCCTCTGTTTGAGGGTGGTTGGAGCACCCTCCTCGGTGCAGAGGCGCCCTCTGCTTTCAGATCTGTCCTGTCTATGTCCGGTTTAGAGAGAAAGAAACAGACAGGGCAGGGTTCTTCGAGTTGCCTGCCCACAGCTGGTAACAGCTGGACAGCTGCAGGCTGAGCAGCGGTGCAAGAGGCCGCCTGGCCACCTTCCCCCTGTGACAGCGAGGCGTCTTGTATTTCTGTGTCATTCTTAGCCATTCCAGCTCAGCCAGCTTCTGTGTGAACAGACATTTGTGCTTTCTTTGGTCCTCTTTTTCGGCGATGCGAATGGGCATGGAAGGGGAGGGAAGATGGGAGCCACTGCAGAAAAGACCCTCTCCCTCATCCCCGCGAACATGGCAGCTCCCAGAGATGTTCTAGCAAAAGGGGGTTTTGATCTTAATGCTGGTTTTATGAGCAGCATTGAAAAGACTCAATGAAAAGACTCATTGAAAAGACACACCAGCTGAAAAAACTATATATTCTGGGACAAAGGCATACTAAAGACATAGCTGCTAAAACATATTTAATGTTCTGAGCCCCCTCCCCTTTTATTTTGATCTGCCACCAGGAGAGACGGGGCCAGTCAGGCCTCCTGACTAGGGCGTTCAGCAACCATGGGGCCGCCCCCAAAAAGGCCCTGCCTCATCCCCAGCCAGCCAGACCCCTGAGGGCAGAAGGTCCCAAAGCACAGCCTCGAGAGATACACACAATGAGCAGGGCAGCAGCCTTACATAAGAGAAGGCAGCTGTTCAGACAGCCCTGGTCCCAATCCTGCGGGGCTTTGCAGCTAATAAATCGCAAAAGCTGTTGATCACAGATGGTGATCGGGAACACAGTGGTGTGAATGACCTTGGCTTTGGTTTCCACTGAAACACCCTTCCTCTTGATGGTCTTTTCTAGTCCCTTCAACGGCTGCCCTTCCAACCCTCAGTCTTCCTTGAGTTTCTTGGCTGCAGTCTCCCTTTGAATTGATGACTGATGTCACAATTTCAGTTTTTTCATTGTTGACAGTAAAGTCCTGTAAATTCTGTGGACATGATTTTTATTTTCCATTCCCCCCCTTGAACTTTCTTCTTTCACTTTTATCCGTTGTCCTTTCGAGTCATTGCCGCTTTCTGCCAATAAGATGGTCCCCTCCACGTATCTTACGTAAATTACTGATGTGTCCGCTCTGAGTTTCCACTCCTTCCTCTGATTCTAACCCAGCTTATGATAACTTCTGTGTACAGATGGAACAGAGAAGGAGATAAAATGCACCCCGACTCCTTTACTTATGGGAAACCATCTTGTTTCTCCATTTTCTGTGCTAGCAGTCCAATCTTGTCCATGATTGTCGTTGTTTAGTCACAAAGTTGCATCCAACCCATCGTGACCCCATGGACAACATTCCTCCAGGCCTTCCTGTCCTGCACCATCCCTGGAGTCCACCAAACCCCACACCCACTGCTCCAGTGACGCCATCCAGCCTCCTCATCCTCCGCCGTCCCCTTCTTCTTTTGCCATCAATTGTTCCCAGCATCAGGATCTTCTCCAGGGAGTCCTTCCTCCTCATTAGGTGGCCAAAGCATTTGCGTTTGAGAGTGTGGTGTCGTGGTTAAGAGTGTGGGACTGGGACTCAGAGGATCCGGGTTCGAGTCCCCGCTCAGCCATGGAGCCAACTGGGTGACTCTGGGCCAGTCACAGACTCTCAGCCTGGCCTACCTCACAGGGTTGTTGTTGTGGGGATAAGATGGAGGCGGAGAATGATGTAAGCTGCCTTGAGCCCTTTGTAGGAAAAAGGCAGGATATAAATTAAAAATTAAACAAATAAATAAAATAAGTTTCATCTTCAGGATCTGACCTTCCAAAGAGCAGTCAGGGTTGATCTCCTCTAGGACTGACCAGTTTGATCGCCTTGTGGTCCAAGGGACTCGCAGGCGTCTCCTCCAGCACCATGATGCAAAGGCCTCAATCCTTTGGCGCTCAGCCTTCCTTATGGTCCACTTGTCCATGATTCAGGTAACATATGGGGACAATCAGGTGCTGAAACTCATCCATTTCTTTTCGGACCATCCATCACTTCTCATGTTCTGTGACAAGAGAACGGATGAATAATTCCATTTTATTCCCACCCTGCTCCTTACCATTCTTCAGGTTTTTCCAGGTTCTTCAACTAAAATAGGCCCATCCATCCAGCCATTCACTCATTACTCAATCCACTCATCCACTCAGTCAAAGGCTTTGCTCTAGTCTATGAAGCACAAAATGCTCTTCTTCTGAAATTCTTTGGTGAGCTAACATGTATGTGTAAAAAGATCTCGAGTGCTTCCTCACTTTCAGAATCCAGCCTGAACATCCAGGCATTTCTTGCTCCAGGTAGGGCAATATTTATTCATTTATTTAATTTTTTTCTATGCCATCCATTACTAAAAATGTCTCTGGACAGCTTAGAAGGAACAGAAAACCAAGCACAAAACCGTAACAACAACACACAGCACACCGCATCTAACATAGTAATAAAAACAAGGATAAAACCAATTAATTGTTAAAATACCGGGAGAATAAAAAGGGTTTTGCCTGATGCCGAAAAGAATAGAGTGACGGCACCCAAACCCTTTTTCGGGAATGAGACTGTATTTTGAATGTTTCCAGTCTATGGGCCGTTGTTTTGTTTCTACGTTAGTTGTGGCACATTTTTGTTAGGAATGTGGACTGATTCGTTTTCTGAAGCTTGAAATAGTTCTACTGGGATCCTCTTTCCTCCAGGTGCTTTATTATTTGCAAGTGCTTTTCAGAGCAAAATTGAGAGATTGAATATATATAAAAAGAGATAATGTATAAAAAGGGGTCAGTGAGGTGTGTTAATGATAATCCTAGGCTGGGGAGCAGGGAGATCCGAGTTCAAGTCCCCACTCAGCCATAAAGCTAACTGGGTGACTCTGGGACAGTTGCTGGGTCTCAGCCTGGCCTACCTCGCAGGGCTGTTTTATTTATTTATTTATTTATTTATTTAAAGTATTTCTATGCCGTCCTGTCACGAAAGCCTCAGGACAGCTCACATAGATAATACAATAAAATATAACATAGATAAAACAATCGACCCACACTGGCTCCAATGTTTTGAGGAGAAAATTGATTTATATAATTCACCTTGGATTCCTTGAAAGGGGAAAAAGTGGAATATAAATGCGATGTTGTTGTAGTAGTAGAAATACGATGAACAAAATGTTGGTTGTCTCGAATCCAAGGCTACAGGGAACACAACGCAGATGGCTCTAGGGGTCAGGAAGATTCTGTCCATCTCTCTCCCCACCATCCCACAAAAGATACCAGTATATTAAAATAGATATTTGGTGCAGAGCTGTCGACAAGTTGAGTTACAAGCTGTGTGTCCTGTCTAGACAGGAAGGCCAGGAAATGCAGGAATCTGAAACATGAAGACATCTAAACCGTGAATTGCGGCTCTGGGCCGAAGAAGAAATGCTTCTAATCATCCCCTGCATTCAGAGCCCACCTTTTTCCTCTCGTGGGCCATTGTTTCTGCTTGCCAAGGCACCGTGCCCAGCTCCCTTTCCTCCTCGCAACAACAACCCTGTGAGGAAGGCTGGGTGGAGACTCCGTGACTGGCCCAAAGGGACCCAGGGAACCTCATGAGCAAAGGGGAGTGGACCTCCCATAGCCCAGGCCAGTGCTCTGGCCGCCCCACCGCACGGGCTCTCGCTGCAATTCCGTGCCGGTTTAGACGGAAAAAGGTCCTGCATTTCCCTGTATTCCCTAGCCAGCATTTTTGGCTTCAGCTGCATAGGCCCGAACCAAAATTGTAAACTTGCTTAAAACATTATGATATTATTTTGAGATTGTAACTTGATTGTGTGGTTCTCAAACGTGAACTTTGTAGACGACAATGCCATTTATTTATTTATTTATTTATTTATTATAAATAATAATACGCCGTTTAATAATATATAATAATAATATATATTTATTTTCCGATTCATATCCTGCCTTTTTCCTATAAAGGGCTCAAGGCAGCTTACATCCCCTCCTCCATCTTATCCCCACCACAACAACCCTGCGAGGTAGGCTGGGCTGAGAGTCTGTGACTGGCCCAAAGTCACCCAGGTGGTTCCATGGCTGAGTGGGGACTCGAACCCAGATCGCCTGAGTCCCAGTCCCGTGCTCTTAACCACTACGCCACACTGGCTCTCCTTATTATATGCTGTTTTTATATGCCGTCCCCATTGCTACATAGCCTCGGGACAGCTCACATCAACAAATAAATAAAACAATACAATACAATTAAAATTTGGAAACATACTGGCTGCACAATTAAAACTATAAATATTAAACTTTATTAAAATACTGTTTGAATAAAAAAGTCTTGGCCTGGTGCCGAAAAACAAATAACGACGGCACCAGGCGGACCTCTCTGGGGAGCGCGTTCCACAGTGCCCCTGTGTCAAATAAAATAAACGTTTGTAAGCTCTCGCTGTACACTTGCGGCTTCCATTTGTGAGCAGGTCTTTTCAAGAATGAACCATGCTGAGAGTAAAATTAGGGCCAAAATATCTGATGAGCGCCTGGAGAACTCACTGAGAATTGCGACTACTTCCATCAAACCAGGTACTGATGCATTCGTTTCTCAAATACAGTGTTAAATACCCTGCTAGTTTTATCTTGCCTCCTTTCCTTTACTTTTATAATAACAGTTCAAAAAAATCAATGAAGGTTTGTTAGTTAGATACGTTCATTTTCTATATTAGGGATTGCAAACTTGTGACCTGCTCAATGATTTTACAAGACTCTCCAAATGGGGCGTGGCATAATTACAATTATTATGTGAGGACTTTTTTTTAATAAGTTTTATTTGAAATTATAATCCTAAAAAACAAACAAAAAAAACTAAAAACAACAACCATCACCAAAAAGATCGGGACCGCTGGGTCAGCCCCCACACCCTTCTTTTTCCATTTATGATAGCTTAAAAACGTATTTAAATCTATATGAAGTCCCGTTTCTCTAGCCAATAATAAAAAGAGTCCCAAGTTTGATAGAAGAGGACTTTTTTGCTTATCTGTGGTGGCGGATATCACAAATATTATGCAAAGATATTTCTTCTTCTTCTTCTTCTTCTTTTGCTCATCAACTTTCATTAGACAATTCTTCTTTTTCCAATGTGGCCCAGAGAAGCCAAAAGGTTGGACACCTCCGACTTAGTCCAGTAAGACTCCTGAAGTGGTCCATAAGACTGATGATGATGATGATTGAATGCACAAAGTAAAATAAAGAGAAAAGAGAGCAGCCCAGTCCCAGGAATTTCATCTAATCCCAGAAGCACGGATTCTGGCCTCACGGCAGTCCTAGACATGTCTGTGAGCTGCAGGTAACTTTCCGCGGCCCCCGTTCACTGGCACCCACTCCCAGAGACGTGGACACAGGGGTGCAGCAATTTGATCCTATGCAGGCCTACTCTGAAAGAAGCCCTATTGTGTTCACTGGGGCTTGCTCCCAGGAAAATGGGCAGAGGACCCTCCACAGCAACCTCGCTGCTGCTCCTGCTGCAAAGGTACTGCGGAAAAGCTGCAAAGGTGATCACGAGACTCGCTCGAGCGGTTTAGCGTATGCAGCCAACACACTGCTTCTTGGCACTGTGTTGTGTTGTGCTCGTGGTCGCAAACCTCCCTCAAACCTTTGACCTGAAAGGCAGGATGGAAATGCATCAAATTGAAAAAGTCTGTGTTCCTTTCGAAGTAAGCATTCTTATTCTTCCTCGGTTTCCCCTTCTCCCCTGCTCACCTGCCATGATGCGTCTTGCTTCACCAGCTTTGTGTGCAGCTCCAAATTTGTGCCAGAAAGATTATGAATGGAGCGTGTTTGAAATCTGTGAAAGGCCGACCACTCAGCCTGAAGGTTGGGGCAGAAAGCAGGGCTAAAATCTCAGCCATAATTTTGCTGATTGGTACTCAGAGCTTGTCCTGTAACTGATGGAGGGAGGGGCATTTGTGCACTTGTGCATCGCACGTGGCTGGATCCTGTTTGCAACTCTGAAGGTGGATGCAAGCAGAACATCTTCTCCAAAAACGCCTCCAAATCACAAAATTTCTGTGTGCACTTAAAGCATGTGCAGTTTTTTAAAGCGTGCATTTTTACCACACGTGAGGAAAGTGTGCATTTTCAATACACTTTAAAAAATTCACATTTTTTTCCCCCACTGGAAACGTGTACTTGTCCCATGTGAATGAAGCGAACACTAAAAGCGCTCAAATGGATGCGGGAGACGAGGCGAAACAAGCTCCAGGTTCAGGCACTGTGGCAAATAGAAAAGCCACTTGCCTGTCTGTGCTTCTGTTGAAGACTCCACTTGGTCTTCCCTTTACTGATTACCCCTAAATTACATCTGCATAAGCCAAAGTTCATGTTCCTGTGTTAAATATCCCTAAGGAGGGACTTGAGTCTAATTCCAAGGTGTCCCAGCATGGAACCCTGTCTTTGTCTTTGTCTGGCGAAATTTAGACTCTTAAAAATAGGATCATAACCTTGGCAAGTACCTCAAAGGTCATCCAGCCCACCCCATCTAGTGATTTGGGACTCTTAAAATAGGATCATGACCTTGGCAAGTACCTCAAAGGTCATCCAGCCCACCCCATCTAGTGATTTGGGGATGGGAATCCATTGGATTTCCTTGGTACAGTTCCAGGGACTCTGGCCCGCCTTCTCTCTGCCTAGGTCCACCCTGTGCTGGGCATTCACATGAGCTTCTGTGAAGCAGTGAGTCCATTAGAGTGACCTGCCAACACGCACCAGTAGAGCTGGGCTTCTACACACGTGACTTGCGGCTTTGCACAAAGAATCTCACACTTTGCATACTTAGTGCAAAGAAGCCAAGCATTCTCAAGTGCCCACGGGTGTGATTGTGATTGTGATCGTGATCATGGCTTGGCTTGCTTCCGGCCCAAGGCCAAGCATGCCGAAAACGTCTGGTGAGTACAAGAGGGAAGGATCTCAGCCCACTTTTGCATCCCCACCCCCACCCCACGGATGAACAGTTAGGGTGCATCTATGGGACAATCCTGTGCATGCAGAGACCAGAAAGAGAAATAGGTAGATAATTCAGAAGGACATGTACCTCAGTAAATCTTAAAGAGTGTCCCAATGCAAACTTTATCCATGTTATAATCTCCTCCCCAAAGGGAATGACTGTTGAGCACTGCCAAAACCTAGTGGGTGGAAAAACATTAGGTGTATCACACGTTCAACAGTTAGTTAGAAACATAGAAACAGAGCGAGCCAGAAGGAGCTTCCTGAGCCATCTAGTCTGACCCCTGGCTCAAGCCGGCTCCACTCACGACATGCCCACCATGTGCATGTCCAGCCTGTCCTTGGACACCTGCACCGATGGGGCCTCAACGGCCTCCCGTGGAAGCCCATTCCACACCCTCAGGGTCCTAACCATCAGAAGTGCGTCCTGGCATCCAAATGGAACCTCAGTTCCCTGAGCTTTGCTCCCTTGGAGCACGTCCTGCCCTCCTCTGCAGGGGAGAACAGGTCTCTACCCACCTCCGTGTGACACCCCCTCACATACCTGCATGTCGCCAACAGATCCCCTCGGAGTCTCCTCCTCTCCAGGCTGAAGAGACCCAGTTCCCTCAGTCTCGCCTCATACGGCATCCCCTGCAACCCGGCCACCATCTTTGTGGCCCTATGCTGCACTGACTCTAACCTGGCTATATCCTTCCTGTAACAAGGGGCCCAAAACTGAGCACAATACTCCAGTTGCGGGTGCACCAGAGTCGTATGGAGTGGCAGTAATAACTCCCTCAATCTAGAAGCCAAGTCCTTATTGAAACGAAGTCCGAGTTGAATGTTGCAAAGTCCAATATACATGAAAAGGAAGCTTTGATGGATAAGACTTAGCAGAAGATCCAGTGGCAATTCCAAGATGGATGCTAATGCAGCAGAACTTTTATGATTGTAACATTCACCTTGTGCTTGAGCTGAGCATTGCCGTGACGGCGATTTCTTAGCACCCCTTTTCTTTATAAAAGACTCAAAGTGACTTACGACAAGGTCAAACAATTCAAATCAACAATGTTTGCTCAAACGCCAAGACCTCGCAAAAATTCAACCATCAATGACAACCGACAATCCCAAAGATAGCAATATTTATATTTCTGAAAGAGGATATAGACAGTTGAGTACCATTACTAAACTAGTCCCCCTCCTCATACTGGAAACATCCATCACTTCAGGGATTTCCAAAGCTCCTACTGCTTACTTCCCACCACTGTGAAAGCAATCCCTAAATGTAGCTTCTCATATACCGGTTACCCTGGAGGAGTGATGTGGCCTTGGAGAGGGCTGGGCTTTTCCTGATGAAAGCTTTTCTAGCAGAGACTGGATGGCCACCTATCAGGGCTGGTGACTCTTCATAGAAACATAGAAACAGAGCGAGTCAGAAGGGGTCTGTCGGGCCATCTAGTCTGACCTTTGGCACCAGTTGCCTCCACTCATGACATGCCCACCATGTGCACGTCCAGCCTATCCTTGAACACCCTCGCCGATGGGGCCTCAACCACCTCCCGAGGAAGCCCATTCCACACCCTCGGGGTCCTGACTGTCAGGAAATGCTTCCTGGCATCCAAACTGAACCTTGGCTCCCTGAGCTTTGCTCCATTGGAACATGTCCTGCCTTCCTCTGCAGGGGAGAACAGGTCTCTACCCATCTCCGTGTGACACCCCCTCACATCCTGTATGTCGCCAACAGATCCCCTCTGAGTCTCCTCTTCTCCAGGCTGAAGAGACCCAGTTCCCTCTGTCTCGCCTGCGTCGTTGGACTAGTTGGACATTGAAGTAGCCTTCAACTCCTTGGTTCTATTTTGTGAGATTCCAATCTTAGCCTTGAAAAAAATCCGAAGTGGAATGCACGCTACTGTGTGTTGGAACAACATAAAAATGACCACCTTTCTTAGGGTTCTTAGAACAATCCATATTCTTTGGATAAAGACAAAGCTGATGGTCCCATGGCACCTTTAACTGGGGGGGGGGGGGGGGGGGTTGTGGCCAGCCTGGCAGCTTCGGCACAAACAGGAGCACCAACTAAATCTGAACCTTGTAAATCTAAGACCAACTAAGCCTTGCACCTTTTCCACATGCACAGTTATGCTGTATCAGATGAAGGGTCCTCTGGGTCCAATACTTTGTTCACACTTTGGTAAACATTTCCCAGTAAGAAGCCCACAAATGGAACAAGTAGCACAGCAGCCCCCTGCCAGTGTCGTCCAGCAACTGGTGTACAGAAGTTCATTGTTCACTGGATGTTGCATAGATCATGAGGACTAGAAGCCATCTCCTTCATGAGTTTGTCCATACCCCCTTTTAAACCCATCCAAATTGGTGGACATCACTCTATCTTGCGGAAGGGCATTCCATCGTTTAATGCTGTGCTGTGCAAAGAAATCCTTCCTTTTATCTCTGCTGAATCCCCCACCAGTTACCCTCAGGGAAGGTGCCCTGCAGCTGCCGGTTTGGCTCAAGCGATCTTGCAGAATGAACGGTATTTTCTGTCTGAACCAGCCATCTCTAGAACAGAATCATGGAAAGAGCAAAGCCCAGCCACCTGATTGCGTTAAGCTTCACACAGCGCCACATCTTATCTGAGTGTGGTGTTGAGCTGGTGCGGCTCACACCGTGCCCGTCCTCTTTTGGGTGTGTTGGAGGAGCAAGGGATTCTGGAGAGTCATTTCACAGGGCTCTCGAGAACCCTGTGAAACCCCGAGAAAGGCGCTCCTTTTGCTTGCAGCATTGGGTTTTGGAATTCAGGCCTCTCCGTCCCCTCGCGTTTGGTTCTTGCACAGAAAAGTTGGGGGCAGCCTTACCTGTTTGGCTCCTAGGAAATGGTACCTTGAGATCAGTTCCATAAACGAGCTAGCCTCCTCACTGCGCACCAATCCTTCCATTGGGCTGCCCTCCCCTGCTGGTGGTGCATTGTGGGATCAAGAGCCCGGCCTACCTGCCTGGGGCTGAGAAGCTCCCCTGCTCCAGGCCCCCTCCCACCGGCTGTGCCCCTCGGTGATTCCCAGGGCTGCCTGCCCACCTGGCCGCCCGGCCTTGAGACAAGCGCCTCCGCTTCTCTCATCTCAGAGCCTCAGCAGGGCCCACCTTCCCAGGATCCCCTCCTGTGCCTCTGCCCCTTTTTTCTGCTTCTGCTTCTTCTGGAGAGCAGCCATGAGCCCTGGAAGTCATGCCCCCAAAGCACCCCTCTTCCTACCTCCCGACACTTGCAGACGATGGGCTGGATCTCAGGGCTGAGATCAAGGGCTCCGCAGCCCAGAAGGGGGTGCAGATGAGCCCCGGGAAAGCGCCTAGGGCAACACACTTTCTCCTTTAAAATAAAATTGTTATTTATTCATCTGAAGCTTTTATAGACCGTCCCATTACAAGTGTCTCGGGATGGTTTACCAACAAGCACAGATAGAAAATGGCACAGCATGCAGCAATTCACAATAAAAGCACAATTAAATATTAAAATCATGGGAGAATTAAAAGGTTTCGCCTGGTGCCAAAAAGGAACAAGCGTTGGTGCCAGGCAGACCTCTCTGGGGAGCATCTGCCACAGTCGGGGTGCCACCGCAGAGAAGGCCCTCCTCTGGGTAGCTGCTCTGCTGATCTCCTTCAAGGAGGGCTCCCGGAGGAGGGCCTCTGCCTCAGATCTCAAGGGCAGGAGGGCACATAGGGGAGAAGGCGCTCCTTCAGATATCCAGGACCCAAGCTCTTTAGGACTTTTAAAAAGGTCTTCTCTTTTAGGGCAGCCAGCCAATCCTGTCCACGCTTACGGACTGTTGCTGCTTTTAGGAGCCTTTCATACATCAGAACAGCGCCAGTGGGCTTAGCTTCACGCAGCAGCAATGGGTTCACACAGAGACGATGATCATTGCTCTGGATTCAGATTTAGGACTTCAAATTCAGCTGGGCTGACAGAAATGGGCATGCTTTTCCATGCCCTCCCACGGCAGCCCCTCCTGTCCCCCCATATTCTGCACACAGGACCTGCTGAATGGGGTATGCTTTGGGATGCAAGGAAAGGAAAAAAATCAACCATTTTTATTTTACCATCATTTTAAGAATTAAGGATTTTAGATGTCTTCAGGTTCTCTCTCTTTAGTTTTGTTGAATGTGAATGTTAATCATTGCTTGGTTATTTATTGCTTTAATTATTGTATTGCCCTTATTTATTTATAATTACGGATTGTAATTATATGACTATTACTGCTTTTAATTATTGTAAGCTGCCTTGAGACGTTTTATCAGGAAGGGCAGGGTAGAAATGTTTTAAATAAATAAATAAAAGGGGGGAAAGGGAAAACCAGGCAGAAAGCCCTTAAACCCAAGAGAACCATTAAATGCAGACTCTGAAACAACAGGGCTGCACCAACCCGTCCAGCAAATCTTGCCTTCGAAGAATGGCTCCATGGAAGCTCACAGTGCAGGACTGCTTGGGCTGACACTGGGGGGAACGTGTGGGGGTGTCGGTGGGGGTGGAGGCAGAACCAGCTGCTTCCAAAGCTGCCGGTGGCTTTGCAAGCCCTTCTTGGAGCGATTACCTGGCTTTGCTGTCTAATGTTAGCAACAGAGTCCCGATTAACCCTGCGAGTGACATGCGCAGTCTTTTTGAGGCCAGTTTGAGTGGCAGGGCGTAACGGCCATCGCCGGACCTTGGGCTGCTGCCCAGTTTTCACGCCGGGGGTCTTGGAGGCCCCGACGGACCCCGGGGTCCCTCTGCTGCAAACCAGAAGGGGGCGCGTCACCGAAAACAACAATCATGCGGCTGCTTTGTGTAAGTACAACCCTGGGCATTAGCACCACTCGGGACTGGGAGTCTTTCTGGGGGTGTCCGTCTTGGATTCCGGCTGTGGAACGCTGCTTGTCGCACCCCTCCAAAACCCAGGCTTGGGGGGACTTATTCTCCCAGGCCGCAGCTGGGCTTGGATTGAGCCCCCCCCCCCCCGCACCCCAAGAGCCCTCGTAGCTGTTTTTGCCTGACTCACGAAGCCATGTGGGTCCAGGGGAATCGTTTTCAGAGGCAAAAAAGACCAGGATCTCAGTGTTTAGGATGGGAGACCACAGGCTCTTGGCTCGGACTGCTGCATGGATGGCATCCTCCGTGGCAAGACGGCAGAGCCCCTTCAGCAGCCCGGGATGCCTGCAGAGGGCCCCCCAGCTCACCTGGAGCCAAGCCCCTCTGCTCCCCACAGCCTGGAGGACCAGCAGGAAGTGGGAGATCTTTGCCTGCCCAGACACAGCCCCAGGTGAAAGCTTTCGCAGTGGGCCTTAGCTCCTCCGTTTTGGGAATACTCTTTGGACTTGAACTTGAGTGCCGAAGACGGTCTGACCCGCACCGTGCCTTTTCCCGAGTGCTCCTACTTGGAAGCTGAGAACTCTTTGGGACGTCTGTCTCTCCGTCTCAGTCCAGGTATCATTGGTGGGGAGCACGGATGGGGATGCGCGACAGGGCCTCCTTGGGGACTGCCCCCGTGCTCTGCAGCTCGTTTCCCTTTGTGCTCCTTCTGCCCCTGGCAAAAGACCGTTTTATTGAGGCAAGGTGGCATGTTTAATTAGCCAAGTGCTGTTCATTTATTTCACTCTGTGTGGACTTTTAGAGGATGTTGTTATATGTGTTATTTTAATTATTAGTATTTTGTTTTTAATTTGTACCCTATTAATTGGGGATGGGGGCGGTCCTATAACACAACGGGGCTCCTCATCAGTGGCAGCTTTTACTTTGAGTTGCATAGGAGCTCTCCATGGTGGTGAACCCATCTTGGGGGTGGTCTACAGCACCATGGACAGCTCCTCTAAAGCTGGGAAGAAAAACTGGCAGGAGGACAAGCTGCACTGGTGTAGAAGGTCTGCTTCAGGTCACCCCTTCAGTGCCAGTTCAGGCCCAGATTGGGGGATAGATCTTAAATAAGTATTTGAGAATGCTCAGTACAACCGAAAGGTAAAAGCTACCTGGAAATGAAAGAACGTAGGTGTGAATGAAGCCACCTTCCCACTCAGATAGGAGGCAGCAGACCTACAGAGCCTGGGAGGGGGCACTGGTTGCGGGCCAGCTGCCTAAATGCCCCCTGCAACCTAGACCCACAACTGCCAAAGAACCAGCTGGGTTACATAATCTGCAATCCAAAACCAATGTCCAGCAAAAGAGCGAATAACGGCCCCTGAGATCCCCATCTCATGGCAAGAGCTGCGCTGAATCAGGGCCTGTCTGGTCCAGCGTTCTGTTCACACCCTGCCCAACCAGCTGCCCTGGAGGGTGCCCCAAGCCGCACACGGTGCCTTCCCACCCACGTCACCCCGCACTGGGTGCAGAGAGGCATACCGCTGGCATCCTGAAGGAAGCCTCTGCTCCCCTCCCCGGAAAACCTTCCCGTCCCTGAATGTGCCCAACCCCATTTCAGTCCTAATTGGTGGCCATCACGACATCATGTGGAAGCAAATTCCATCGCGGAACCACGTGCTGCGGGAAGTCCCTTTGATCTGTCCTGAATTTCCCGCAAGTCTTCAGGAGTACCTAACTCTTTGGGTTCTGGTATTATGGGAGAGGGAGAACTTTTCCTGCCCAGGCAGAATGTAGAAGTCTATGGATCGGGATCCACAGGGCTGCAATCCTCAGAAGTTTATGCTAGTGTGTGCAAGCAGGCAGGAAGGAAATTGGTGGCTACCTGAAGCTTTGGCTTACACCTCCCTTCCCCCTTTGCCAGATCAGGCAGTTGTCAGGAATCATGGGAAAGGCAGACAAAAACCCCTGGAGGACCACAAGTTCCCCATCCCTACTTAACAACCCACAAACAAGCATATCCGTTCATGCTGCAAGGAACTAACCCGGCTTTGTCGTTGTGATGTGCCATCAAGGCATCTCTGGCTTGGGGGACTCCATGAAGGAAAGCCCTCCAGAAAGTCCCTTCTTTAGCAGCCCTGCTCAGCTCTCGCAAACTCAAGGCCATGGCTTCCTGCATGGAGTCAATCCATCTCCTCATAGGTTGCTCTTCTGCCTTCGACTTTCCCTAACACAATTGTCTTCTCCAGGGAGTCTCACCTTCTCCTGATGTTCTGAAAGTACAACAATTTCAGTTTGGTTCTTTTTGCTTTCAGGGGAAGTTCTGGCTCGATTGGATCCAGGAGCACGTCTACCCTTTGGGAAATCTAATATTTTGGTACTGGCATGATTCATATTCCTTTTTTCCTCCCTTGGCTTGCAGTTACCTCTACGTGGTTGTCAGGATGACCCAACCAGCTGGTGACCGTCTCTCCACGGCCAATCCCTACAGCTATGAGCAGCCCCTTCCCCCCGTGGCTCGGGCAAATGCAGTCACCGAGGTGCCCCCGGCCAAGAAGATAACATTTTACAAGAGTGGGGACCCTCAGTTCGGAGGGGTGAAGATGGCCATCAACCAGCGCAGCTTCAAGAGCTTCAACGCCCTCATGGATGACCTCTCCCACCGGGTTCCCCTACCTTTTGGGGTGCGAACCATCACAACCCCACGCGGGATACACTGCATTAGCACCCTGGACCAGCTGGAGGATGGGGGATGCTACCTGTGCTCGGACAAGAAGTACGTCATGCCCATCAGCCTTGGCGCTGCCAGTGGGAGGCTGGGTCTCCAGAAGACCGGCCAGCCAGCCAGAGCTTTGAGGAAGGTAGCCCAAGAGGTCAGGCCGGAAGAGCACTCGGCGGCGTTTGCCCAGCCAAGTCCACGGATACCAAAGAAAATAACACTGCTTAAAAATGGAGACATTGCTACCCAACGGCCCATCACTCTCAACCGCCGGAATGCACGGAGCTTGAAGGCTCTCCTGGATGAGATTTCAGAGATCATGCAGTTCACCGTGAAGAAGCTCTACACAGTGGAAGGGAAGAGGGTGAGTCGTTAGGGTCCGCTGGTGTTTCACGCAAGATCAGCCCAAGCGTTGGACCCTTGGTCTAGCTAGCCCGATCCCCGCATGAGGGATTCCATTCTATCAACTCCATTCTGCATTGTGGGTGTCAGATTTGGTTGGATAATTTACACATAAGTAGACCTATGCGCTAGTCCTTCTAGGACATTGTCAAATTCAGTCTGGTAAACAAATCCTCCAAATTTCAGCCTCTTGCCTTTTAAGGTTTTCTTTCTAGAAACTCAGACATGCCAGGGATACGAAATGCCCCAAAGTTGCATCAGGAAAGACCTGTGAGTGCTTTTATGACCCCAAAGGAGGGGTCATAAAACATTTTGAGGCACAAAAGGAAATCAACTACAGGACATCTTGGTCTTTTTTGAAAGCTAAGAACATTATCTAAAATAACCGGGGGAAAGAATTAAAATACATTGCAAGGAAGCAATTTTATCAGGATCGAAAAATTTAGACTGAATAAGTATTATGCAGATCAAAATCAGTAGGCCAAGCTTTGTGACACAGATTTGATCGCTATGCATTACAGTGGGAAAGATTAAAAAATTACTGGTACTAGCTGAAACCTGAAATCCTTTTTATGTTGATTTAAACCCTCTGGTAGAAGTTAAATAAACGACCTTTCTTAGGCAGCATTTGCTTGGGGTGATAAAATAACCCCAAATGTGGGTACTGTTAGGTTTGAAATGGATACTGGATGAAAATGATAGAGGATCAGCAGGGATAGATGAATGAATGAATACATCTGTCATTGTATGTATTCACAATGCTCCACACATGGTGTGTGACAGAAATTGCAGAATTGCCAGAAGGGAAGGGAGGGAAGGGAAGGGAAGGGAGGGAAGGGATGGGACTGTGCCACAGTTTTGCAGACCCTGAGCTATTAGCTCAGAACCAAAGAGGCTTTGCACCACTAAACTGTAGAAACGCAAGCCCAGATCCCACTGGCACTGTAGAAAAAACCTCCATTATGCAGACTCCCTCAGGGTCTTGTCCTTCCTTCCAGGAGCAAACTCAGGTGGTGAAGCTGTTGATAGAAATGGAAGCAAAATGGTGGGCTTCTGGGAAATGAAAGCAGGGGGCCAGCAGGCCGTGGGGGCCGTTTCCTCCTCCTCATGTGCAATCAGCAGACTGTCCTTTGACAAAAGCTCTTTATTCTCCAATGTGCACCCAGCAAAGTGTAACCAGCAATGAAGGAGCCCCTGAGCATGCACAGAGCAGTTTGTCGAACCCAAACTAAAAACTGCTGCCAAGAACCCACCTTTGGAACAACCCTGTGCCCCAAGCACATGGGAAGCCCCTCTGGGTGCAGGCCAGCCTCCTCTCTGTATGCCGCCCCTCTACTTGGCTAGCCCTGCTCTTCCAATGCCGTGTCGGGGGCCAAGGATCAGACCAGACTCACCTGGGTCCCTGGAATCCACGCCCATCCCCCCCCCCCGGCACTTGCAGACGGTGGCTATTCTCAGGGCCCACCTAAACACCTCTGCATCTTCCATCTCAGTGTTTGGAGTTCCCGTTTCCCAGGGCCCATCCTTCCCAATGGAAGAGTCTCCCTAGCCCTGGCCTAGAAGGAAGGAAGGCAGGACGTGCTCCAGCAGAGCCAAGCTCAGGGAGCCAAGGTTCCATTTGGATGCCAGGAGGCACTTCCTGACAGTTGGGACCCCGAGGGTGTGGAATGGGCTTCCCCGGGAGGTGGCTGAGGCCCCCTCGGTGTGGGTGTTCAAGGACAGGCTGGACGTGCACATGGTGGGCATGTTGTGAGTGGAGCCGGCTGGTGCCGGAGGTCAGACTAGATGACCCGGGAGATCCCTTCTGACTTGCTCTGTTTCTATGTTTCTATGTGTGAACAGACAGACCTTGCTGACCAGGTGAGGGGGTGTCACACGGAGGTGGGTAGAGACCTGTTCTTCCCTGCAGAGGAAGGCAGGACGCGCTCCAACGGAGCCAAGCTCAGGGAGCCAAGGTTCAACTTGGATGCCAGGAAGCACTTCCTGACAGTCAGGACCCCGAGGGTGTGGAATGGGCTTCCACGAGAGGTCATTGAGGCCCCATCGGTGCAGGTGTTCAAGGACAGGCTGGACGTCCACATGGTGGGCATGTCGTGAGCGGAGCTGGCTGGTCAGACTAGATGGCCCGGGAGGCCCCTTCTGACTCGCTCTGCTTCTCTGTTTCTAGCGCTGGACCATGTGCCAAGAGCAACGGCCTTCATTCCCACTGCCCAGGAAGCTTCTTGGTGCTTATGTCAATTCACAAAGCCCTAAACAGCTTGGGGCCGGGATATCGGAAGGAACGCCCCTCTCCGAACATCCCCACCACACCCTTAAGATCTTCCACAGATGCCGCCTTTGCAAGTGCTCGCCCCAAATGAAATGAGGGGGGAAGTGGCCCAGAAAAGGGCTTTTGCCATCATTATCTGACATGCTCTTCCTTGGGAGGAGCAACCGGTACCCTCATTATTCAGTTTTCGCCACCAGGTGAAAGCCTTTTTATCTAGCTCTTGCTTTCAGTATAATTCATGGTTTTATTGTGCTATTTTCATTGCATGCTTTTCACACTGTGCTCCTGTTTGCATTTGGTATCTGTTGGATTTTATGTATTCAAATGGCTAGTTTTTAATTTTGTTATGGTTTTACGCTCCCTGTTTTCTGTTGTGTGAGCTGCCCGGAGAGTTCTTGGCTGTGGGGCAGGCATGCAAGAATGATTGATGGATAGATGGGTGGGGGGGTACTAGGACCCAGACCTCCTGAGGTCCAGCCCAACACCATGGGTTGTTAGTGACACTGCCTCCAGGCACCACCATAACCCAACAATCTGCATTTAACCCGTGCTTCGCCCTTGAATGTGGATCACCGTGCTGTCTGGACTCTTCCTGTGATTTGGGGCTTCACACATTGAAACACAGAAACAGAGCGAGTCAGAAGGGACCTCCCAGGCCATCCTGTCTGACCCCCGGCTCCAGCCGGCTCCGCTCACGACACATCTCTCCGCTCGCGACACATTGCAGAAAAGAAGCCTGAGGAAGAGAAGGCCAAACTGAGCGCGCCCACATGTGGGGAGTTTTATATGTGGGTGACTGGCCAACGAGGTTCTCTTCCTGAAGTGGTAGAGTCCAGGAAAAGTGGTAGAGTCCAGGAAAAGCATCGCTTGATGGTTGTTCACGGGATGGCCTGTAATATCCAGTGCCACAAAAAGGATGGCGCATCATCAGAAATGAGGGCAAAGAGGGCTCCAGGTTGAAATCAGTTGGCACAGGATCATTTCAAGGCACGGATGACAATGCAGAGATAACAACCACATTAATAAATAGAAGTACATTTTTGCTTTGCCCTGGAAGCAAAAATGACAGAAGGCTTGTACTTTGGGCACATCAGGAGAAGGCAAAACTCCCTGGAGCCACGCTAGGGAAAGCTGATGGAAGAAAAGGGAGCCCAAGTGGGGTGGCTTTGGTCAGATGTGCCCAGCACTGGTCCCAGTGCAGCCCAGACCAGAAGGTTGAGTCCAGAAGAAAACTTGGGGCGATTCACTCAGCTTTCCCAGGTGCTGTGAAGTTTGCCCTCAGCCACACCTGGAGTTTCAGGCCTAAGCAACCTGCGGGCAGCCTGCCAACAGCACCGTAGCAAGAGAACCCCTTTTTTGAATCCGTGCAAAACAGTCCAGCTGCTCCAATTGCGTCCTCAGTCCTTCGAGTGCCGAATCCGATTGCACCCCCCCCTGCGCTGCCACGGGTTCATCTTGCTTTCGTAACCCTAACTCCCTCCCTGTTTTTAGTTACGAAAGCAAGATGAACACGTGATGAGTCACGTCCAGCCCATCATCTCAGGATGAGCAGAATTGTCTCTGACACCTGTGGGGATTCCGATAAACTTAAAAAATAAATATCTCTCAGAGCTGCCAGCACCCCTCGCAAAAAGAACAGTTCATGGCATGTTTAACCTGGGCCCAATTCAGGGTGCTAGTCTTGACATATAAAGCCCTAAACAGCTTGGGGCCTGGCTATTTAAAGGACCGTCTGCACCCCTATATACCTACCCGCCCCCTTGGATCAGCGCAGGGGGCCCTTCTGTGAGAACCACCCCTCAGGGAGACGAGAAGGGGGGCAACCAGGCGAAGGGCCTTTCCTGCTGCCGCCCCCCATCTCTGGAACGCCCCCCCTAGGGAAATTCGCCTGGCGCCGTCTCTGTTTTCCTTTCGGCACCTGGCAAAAACATACCTTTTAAGGACATTTTTTAATGTTCAGCCTGTATGCTATGGCCCTTTTTAATTGTTTTTATAGATGTCTAATTTATTATGTTTCAATTGGTCTTTAATGTGTTTTACTGTTGGTATGTTTTACATGGTAACCCACCCCTGCACCCAGGAGCTAACAGGAGCCAGCATGAATTTTCCTCCCCGACTTTATCCTCACAACATCCCTGTGAGGTAGCTGAGACTCAGGAGAAACCATCGGCCAAAGCCTCGTAACTGAGCAGAGATTTAGACCCCTTAATGCAGCCCAAAGAGGAAGAAATCCATTGCCAAAAATGAGGACAGAGGAGGCTGTAGATTTGCAAGAAGTCTGCACGTCCTGATGTATAAATTTAGGAGCAGATTTCGAAATAGTGATGGTGATTTAAATGAAAACAGAGCACAAGAGGCTTAGGGGAGACTGTGGCCAGGGGACCTACCTATTCGGGGTCCAGTATGGTGCCGTGGTTAAGAGCGTGGGACTGGGACTCAGGCGATCCGGGTTCGAGTCCCCGCTCGGCCATGGAGCCAACTGGGTGACTTTGGTCCAGTCACAGACTCTCAGCCCAACCTACCTCACAGGGTTGTTGTTGTGGGGATAAGATGGAGGAGGAGATGTAAGTTGCCTTGAGCCCTTTGCAGGAAAAAGGCAGGATATAAATCGAAAAATAAAAAAAATCTGCTGTCCAGAGAGGGCTGAAGGGCTGCTGTCAGGCCCTGTGGCTCTTCCTGCGCCGCCCCGGCTTCCTCTTCGGGTGCAGCCCTTCTCCCCGCGGCTTTGAGCATCGCGTGCCTCCCTCTTCTCCAGGTTGACAGCCTGCAGGCGCTCCTGCGCTCTCCCAACGTGCTCGTCTGCGTGGGTCGGGAGCCGTTCAAGCCCATCCTGACGGAGAATTCCCGGAAGCACTCCCTGGAGAAACTGCCCGGCCTGAGGTCCCGATCCAGCAGCAACTCGATGGGTGAAAACCACGAAGGTAAGGGAGAGGCAGGACCGTGTGGCTAGCCCTCCCTCTCTGAAGGACTCGGAGTGGGTGGAAAAATACGAATTATTATTATTATTATTATTATTATTATTATTACATTTCTATGCCGCCCCTTGCCGAAGCCTCGGGGCGGCTTACAACACAATAAAATACATTGAAATACAATCGAACATAATAAATTACCATTAAATACAAAAATACAAAAAATACACTGAGTTACGAACATAATAATATAAAATTAAAATTATCAGTATAAAATAAGTAAATAAATAATATAGGAGGAGAAAAGGAAGAAGAAGTTGCCCTGGCCAGATCATATATTTTAACAATTAAAATGATGTTTAAATTGGAGGACAACCTGGCTGGATTGGAACTGGGGTCCGTGCAGCTCGGTGGTGCGGTTTCAATTTATTGCTGAAAGTTCAGAGAACAAGTGCTAAGCCAAATTCCGTTGTGCTGCAGCTTTCAGAAGCTGGATTCCTGGGGGGCGGGGGCGGGGGGGGAGGAAAGGGACTGAAGGCACCATGCAGCCAATATGCCATGATATTTCTTTCTGCCAGCAAAGAAGCTTTAGGAGACAAATTACAACCTTTTGTGCTCAGGTTGCCTTTGTGTTCCTTGTAGGAGCTTGGCGGGCAATTTTCAGACCCCTTTTCTCACATCAGCAACCCCGAAATTATTACAGGCCTGCATGGAGAACAGCTTGGCTGAACAGAACAATCCTGGAATTCAAAAATTGCTCAGAGGGCCCCTGTCCCTCAATTCCAGGTGCAGGTCATTTGCATCTGGGTCCAGTACCATAGAGCCATGGAATTGCAGAAAAGCAGAACTGCAGAGCGCTGGAGGGCCACCAGGTCCAACCCCGGCTGAGTGCAGGATTCCAGTTAAGCCATCCCTCTCAGAGGGCTGTCCAGTTGCATCCTGGAAGCCTCTAGTGTGGGAGAGCCCACCACCTCCCTTGGTCATGGGTTCCGTTGTCATACTGCTCCAACAGTCAGGACATTGCTCCTGATACCTAGCCGGAACATGGCTTCCTGTAACTTGTGCCTCTTGTTCCATGTCTTGCACTCTGGGATGATGGAGAAGAGGGCCGGGCCTTCCTCTTTGTGACAGCCTTTCATGAACTTGTAGACTGCTATCCTATCTCCTCCTTGAGGAGATCAACCCTGACTGCTCTTTAGAAGGCCAGATCCTGAAGGTGAAGCTCAAATACTTTGGCCACCTGATGAGAAGGAAGGACTCCCTGGAGGAGACCCTGATGCCGGGAACGATTGAGGGCAAAAGAAGAAGGGGGCGGCAGAGGATGAGGAGGCTGAATGGGGTCACTGGGGTGGTGGGTGTGGGCTTGGGTGGACTCCGGGGGATGGTGGAGGACAGGAAGGCCTGGAGGAGTGTTGTCCATGGGGTCGCGGTGGGTCGGACACGACTTCGCGACTCACAACAGCATCCTATCTCCCTTCGGTCTTTGCTTCTCGAGGCTAAATGTGCCCAGTTCTTTCCATCTCTCCTCACAGAGCTCTGTTTCCCATCCCCAGATCCTCCTTGTCGCCCTCTTCTGAACCCTTTCCAGCTCATCTGCCTCTTTCTTAAAGGTAGCACACAAGGGGGATCGTGGCCACGAGTCCTCCCCTGCCCTGTCGCACAGCAGCGGATTCCGCAGGAGAGATCCGTGGAAGGTGGCAAAGGATAGGCTTCGTTCAGTGTATAGGTGGAACTGAGCCAAGGTCAGACCTTCTGCTCTGGCTGCCCAGGGAATTCTGGGAGCTCCTCTTGGACCCTTCAGCAATCAGAGCATGTACTGAAGGGTCTGCCCACACTCCCTATTTACGATGTTCAGGTCTGTATGTTTTGCAGAGATCCTTCTAATTCCCTGTTTGTGCTTTCCCGTTTCCTCCCCACAACCTACAGTGAACCTTGGACTGAAAACCAAAAAGAGTGTGATCCACCCACGATCATCCCTGAGCAACCGTTCCATGAGGCTTTCCTTGTCCTCAGAAAAGTCCTACCCAAACGGCCTCATGGCATCGCCCGAGAATGGGGCTCCTTGCTTGGACAACTGCCCACGCTCGAAAGCAGGGACCCTGGTGCGCTCCATAGTCAACGATGACATTGAGAAGAGGGTCCATGTGAATAAAGACGGCAGCCTGTCGGTCGAGATGAAGGTCCGCTTCCGCCTGCTCAATGACGAGACCCTGCAGTGGTCCACCCAGATCAAGAAGTCCAGCCTGATGAACAAGGTGCCTTGTGAAGAAATGGGCATCGGCGAAGAGAATGGCGTCGAACCAGTAGAGAGAATGAACCCGGAGGCTGGCTCCGAGGCGGATAGCTCGTATCCCTGCGACGCCGACTCTTACGTCTCCAACCTCGAAGAGTCCGAAATTGAGGAGGCTTGTTGCCAAAACTGCGGGAAACCCCGCAGAGCCTATGACATCTGGAAGAACCCCATGCATGCATCCCAAAAAGAGGAGCCAGGGACGAGGAGCTCTTTTCACACGCACTCTTCGTCTTCCAGCAGCTCATCGCATCGGAGGACCGTCCACCAAAGGGTGGCCTCCGTTGACAGCATCCGCACGTCATCCACCGGAGAGGAATACACGAAACAGGTTGTACGGGAGTGTTCTCATTATTCCGAGACTGTTGAGAAGAGGGTAGAATACCATTCAGTCAACAGATGCTGCTGCCGACATGACTCTGCCCAGGGAGAGCCAAGCCCAAGGGGGACCCCCGAGGAAGTGGACATGGTAGCTTGCTTGGCCAGTTCACCAAACGATGGAGATTCCATGGTGGGGGGAGATGGCGATGGAGGCAGAGGAAGCCAGGCTGGGAGTAGCAGGTCAACATCATCTCGGGGTTCTGCAGAAAGCCAGATAAAAGTCTGTGAGGAAACCAGTAGTGTGGCAAGAACCATCTCATCCCGTAGCGTCAAAGAAAGAGAAGATGTGGAAGACGTGGACTGCGCCTCCTCTCCCAGCAGCGTCTGTAGCAGGTCCAGTAAGTGCAGCACACCTGGAGGAAAGGTCAACCCAGATGAGGGATCCGAGGAGGACCAGGTCATCTCCTCGTTCTCCAGTGACTCCTGCCAGAAAAAGGAGGCTGCGGAGGAAGAAGCTGAAAAGGAAGAAGAAGATGTCAATGAAGCGTGCTCCACTTCAGAAGATATGGCGTCCAATCAATCTGCCAAGGAAGATGTCAGTGAGTGTAGAAGATGCTCCACAGAAGGTTCTTCCCGGTCCAGAGTCTCCGGTAGAAGCCACAGGCAGGGTGACCGTGAGGAGCTGCACGAGTGCCGGGCTGCTTCGGCTTGCTCCAGAGCATCCAGGAGAAGCAGGCGCAGCCAGAATCACCTGCAGGCAGCGTCCAATGGGTCTGCCCGATCATCCAGAGAGTCCCTCACCAAGAGAAAGAAGGCAAAAAGTTCTCTCCATGCAGAAGATGCAAGGTCAAACAGCAGAGCTTCTTGCTACTCCAGGAGCTCCTATGAGGTGGAGAAAAGAGATGTAGAAGCTCCTGCTTCCAGCTCGCCACAGTCTTGTGTGTCCTCCTTAAGTGAAGACGCAGCGCCCCCTGCAGTCCTCAACGAGGAGAGCACGAGCAGCACTTCCAAGTGCTACAGCAGGTCCTCCAAGGGCAGCCAGAAGGAGGGGCAGCCCGAAGACCCCAGCGAGACGTCGGCCCCTTGTGTCAGCCTCTCGGAAGACGACGGGGGCAGTGGAGCTGGGGCTGCCCACCCCAGTTCCCAGGAACATTCTTCCAGACCAGGAAGCTTTTCCGAATCCACGTGCTCGAAGTGCGGCCACCGAGCAGGAACCAGCATCAAGGACCCGAGTGCTGATTCGCGGGTCTCTTCCTGCTCCGAGGTGAAGAGCAGGTGTGCAGCGGTGGAGGCATCCGGAAGAAGCAGCAATGGCTGCTCGCAATCCAGCATGGCCTGGGCGTCCAAGCAGAAAGCGAGCGGCCCCCAGGCCAACAAGGAGAGCTCCAGCCACACATCTGCCGCGGAGTCTGCGTCCCTGTACGGCTTGCACTGTCCAGCGCCCCCCAAAGGGAAACCCAGCGGCAGAAAGAGTCGGACAGCGGTGCTGAAGCAGAAGAACTCCAACAGCTTGAGAACCTGTGCTGGAGCCGAGGCAGCCGCAGAGGAGGAGCAGAAAGAAAAGGCCAGTTCACGGTCGCCTGGGAGCGATGCAGCAAACGGAGCGGGGACCAGTTCTGTCCCCTTGAATGAAGAGGAAGGTTCCTGCCAGGAGAAGGGCCAAGAGGAGACAGAGGCGCGCGCAGAGACTGCTCCGGAAGGTGGCCGTGAGATCGTCCCGTCGTCCCTTCCCAGCACCTCTCCGGAAGAAGTTGTTCACGAGTGGCTGAGAAAGATCCCTTCCGAGACCTTGCTGATGGAGTGCGAGATGCAGGATGATGGAGAAGAGGCCGGAGCAGATGCTGAAATGCCAAGCTGCTCGACCAACCAGGAGTTGCTGGAAGGGGGAGCCGATGAGAAGGATGAAGCAGGAAGCGCGGCTGCAGCAGAGGCAGCTGGGGAAGGGGAGGCTGCCGAGGAAGAAGCAAAGGAGGACCCGGGCAAGGAGGCAGCTTCAGAAGTGGCATCGGGAGGCGTTCAGGCGAGTCAGGCGGAATGCGACCGGTCCGTCATCTCCAGCCAGATCAGCCACAAGAAAGACTTGCCCGACACCATCCAGACCTCCGTGCAGATCATGAAGGCCCTGCTGGCGGCCAAGCAGGAAGCAAAGCTGGACCGCTCCCACAGCCTGCCCGAAGTGTCTCCCACCATGGGCAGGAAGCTCAGCAACTCAGCCAATATGCTGATCACATGCCTGGCCAGCCTGCAGCTCCTGGACGAACAGCTGGATCCGGCAAAGAAATCGCACCCATCCCTGAACAGGCTGAGATACACAGAGCTCCTGAACATTTTCCAGGCTCTCTGGTTCGGGTGTGCCTCAGAAAAAGGGGGGCCCAGCTCAGGCCTGCCAGGGGAGGGCCAAGCTAAAGTGCCCTCAGGGTTCAAAGGCCATAATTCAAAAGATGACGATTTCACACCCATGTCCTCCTCCGGGGTCGATGTCAGTAGTGGCGATGGCGGCTCAGGAGATGGCAGCGTGGCCGGAGCCTGTGACTGCGCCCTCTCCCCAGAGAAAGCTGAAGTTGCCAAGCCCACTGAAGGAGAAGAAGCCACCGCAGAAGGCGTGGACAACGAGGAAGAGCGTGAGGAGCATTCTGAGCTCCCAGGGCCTTGCTCTGAATCTGAAGGAGGGGAAAGAGCAGAGTCTGCAGGAGAAGACGAAGCGCCTGAAGTGGCGGAGGACCAAGGCAGTGCCTGTGAGCCGGAAGAAGAAGAAGAAAGAGAAGCTGCTGGAGAGGAAGAGACAGGGGAAGAGGACAAACAAGAAGAGGAGGATGTGGAATGTGCAGAAGCAGTTGCTGATGCCGAGGAGGCCCAAGAGGATCCCAGTGCAGAAGACAGTCCCTGCCCGGGAACCGCTGATGACGCGACAGACACCAAACCGGAAGCTGATCCAGATGGAAATGAGGGAGACCGGGAGGAAGAGCCTGACCTGAATGCAGCACAGGAGCCTGAGGGGAAGTCTGACATTGAGTCAGGGCCCAGCAGTGCAGCCCCTCGCCAGGCCGCCGTGGTCCCACAAAGGTCTGTTGACCCCGACCCGGTTTGGGTCCTCAGTCTTCTGAAGAAGATAGAGAAGGAATTCATGGCTCACTACGTCAGCGCCATGGATGAGTTCAAAGTCAAGTGGAACTTGCCCAACAGCAAAGAGGTGGACACGATGATTGCCGAGCTGAAAGAAGAAGTGAGGAAGAGGATACAGAAGAGCGTGGAGAAGGAGCTGAGGAAGATCAGGAGCAGGGCCGGCAGGCGGGTCCCTCGGCCTCCGGCCGGCGAACTGCAGCGCGATTCGACCCTGCAAGTGGGAAGCCGAAGGCGTCGTTTGCAGAGCATCCACAAAATGTCCCTCTACAACTGGACCATGAACCACAGCAAGGCGGAGACGAGGGACCTCTCCGGGGACCTCGAAGAGGACTTGTTCTTCAGCACCATTCGAGATGATGCCGACGAGCCGCCCAACAGGGACGAGTACTGCCCCTGCGACGCCTGCGTCAGGAAGAAGCTGGCGGCCAAGGCGGCCCGGAGCACCGTGACGGTGGTGAGCAGCGCCCCCGTCGTGAAAGCGTTTGATCTGCAGCAAATCCTGCGGATGAAGAGAGGAGACGCTCCTGCGGGGGGCGCCCAGCGCGACATCACGGAGGAGGGCTTGGAGGAGGAGGCTGATCCCGCGGCAGAGGAGGCTGGCGAATCCGCGGCGGATCAGGAAGTGGGACCTGAAGAGGGGGCCGGTGAAGCCCAGGAGCAGGAAGAGCACGAGGGTGACACAGCGGTTCCCAGCCAGAGGGAGGAAGTCTCCGAAAACGGGAACAGTACGGACGGTGCATGTGAGGAAGTGGTGACTGAAGGAGGAGAGGAGGAAGCGGAGGAGGAAGCAGAAGAGGAAGAAGCTAAGGAAGAGGGGGAAGCAGAGGGGGAGGAGGGGGAAGCCGCAGAGGAAGAGGGAAAGGAAGATGATGTGGATGTGAAAGCGGAAGAGGAAGAAAAGGAAGAAGAAAGAGAGGAGGAAGAGTCACTGAAAGAGGAGGAAGAAGGAGAGGAGGAAGTGGGAGAAGAGGAGGAGGAAGCAAGAGAGGATGGAGGGTCTCTGAAAGAGGAGGAAGAAGGAAAGGAGGAAGTGGGAGAAGAGGAGGAAGAAAGAGAGGATGGAGGGTCTCTGAAAGAGGAGGAAGAAGGAAAGGAGGAAGTGGGAGAAGAGGAGGAGGAAGCAAAGGAGGAAGAGGAAAACAAAGAAGAAGAGGAAGAGAAGGAGGAGTCTGTCAAAGAGGAAGCAGAAGAAGTAAAGGAGGAGGAAATGGAAGAACAGGCAACAGAGGAAGAGGTGCCTGGGGAAGATAATCAGGAAATGGAAACTAAAACTGAAGGAGAAGAGGAAATGAATGAAGAAGAGGAGGTGGACGAAGAACAACAAGAAGAGACGGGGAATGAAGACCAAGAAGCTGAGGAGGAAGCTACAGTGGAAGACGAAGCTGATAACGCAGCGGTGGAACCAGAGGCAGGTGAAGGAGAGGGCCAGGGAGAAGTGTCTGAAGGTGCCAAAGCTGCCGGTGATGCTGAACTGTCCGAGACTCACGAAGATCATGAAGTGGAAGAGGAGAACCCAGCCAGTGGTGGGGAGGAGGCTGAACATGACGCTGACCCAGAGGCAGAGGGTGAGGTGAGCTCAGAAAGAGCAGACGGGGAAGAAGAGGGTGGAAACGATGAGGGAGCTGAAGCCGCAGGGGAAGAAGAGGAAGCTGAGGGGGAAGACAGTCCTGGGCCTGTGCAGGACTCCGTGGAGCAGGAAGACCCTGCAGCCACAGAAGATGGAGCCCGTGGGGACGCAGAGGCTCTCAGAAAGGGATCTGGGTTCTCCTCCATGGGGAATTGTTCCCAGCAGTCCCAGAAAGGATCTGAGGATGGGAGTGACGGAGAAGACTGCAAGGAAGAGCAGAACACACACGGTGACGATGACAGTACCAACGATGGGGTGGATAGTGAGTCTAAAAACCAGGCGGAGAGTAGACCTGCCCAGATGTATCCTGACAGTGAACAGGAAGAAGAGGAGGAAGAGGAAGATGAGGAGAACGAGCTAGCGCCCTCCCAAGCAGGTGCTGTGAAGGGAGGAGAAGCCAAAACTGCTGAAAATGAGAAGAAGCTGGATCCAGAGGCCATCGATCAAGATGACTTGGACTTTTAGAGGAAGCCACCAAATTGTCTCGGGATCTTTGGCACAGTTGTGTTTTTCTCACTACCCATCAAGTCAGACTTTTCAATATAAAAAGAAGAATACAACCTGACGTAACAAGACTATTCCAGTATGAATTCCACATGCACCTGACTGGAATTTCTGGAGACTGGTGGATTTGCTGGATGGATAGGCTAGAGAAAGCTTGCAGAAAAATCTTTGCCTTGAAGGTTGCTGCTGTCTTTTGTGCAAAACATTCCCGTTTCTTTCTCCCACATGTCCTGATTTCCTCCTGACGTTCACTCATGTATTCCATCATTTGTCAAGGGCCAGAACTGGTGCATTTTTAGATTCCCTCAAAAATAGACTGAGAAGTTGAGGCTTCAAATTGCACAGATTAAGAGGGATATTACAATTTATCTTTGTAAACCATCCAAAGAGCCAGCTAATGAGCAGTACAGGAATGTAATAAGTCAAAGGAAGGATAAATGGCAGGCAAGGTCCAATTCATGGCAACATGGATAATCACAGTGAATTCCATGGATGCCCCCAAATTTGGAGATATTCTAGGAGTGAGGACATGTTTTTATATAAAGGAAACATTCTGTATTTTCTGGTGCACATCCGACAAATACGAACATCAAGCAGCGAATGCCAACATACAGAAAAATACTTTGACTTCATCTCAACTCAGTGCCAGCGATGTGTTTTCGAGGACACCCAGACGGGCTCCCTTCCTCGGTGCAAGACATGGTCACCAGCCCCTCTTGTTCTTCAGAGGGTCCTTGTCTGCTGTCCAGGTGCAGACCCCAAAAGCAAGGTGTCTGTGGCACCTCCTCCTCCTCCTCCTCCTCCTCACCACCACCTTTGCCTGAGGCAGAGTGAAGGGTAGATGAACAGGCAGGTTGCCCTGGGGCAGACAGAGGCAACTCCATGGAGCCGTTGAGCATGGGGTCAGTCCTCAGGAGGGGCCCAGCCATGGCGTCCACCTGGTCTGAACGGATTGGCTGGTGGGAGCGGTTGAGAAAGACTTTGGCAGAACCTTTGAAGAGCTGCTGCTGGTCAGAGTCGTCTGCCCTGGGCTGGACAGTCTGGCACAGCAAGGCAACCTGGTGTGGCCACACAGGGCCGGGACCCTAATGCGAGATGGTCAGCACTCCCCTGGAAGTATTGCCCTTCATCTGGGTGGCAGTCCTCTCCACCCGAGGGCCAAGCGGAGCCCCGCTGAATTCAGGGAGATGGGGCTCTGCAGTGAATAGGAGCCGAGCTCTGCTGTCCCCCTGGGCCCCCTCAGTGCGTCAAGCCACACCTCCTTTCTGTACACACGATGCGGATGGGATTTCCTTCTCAGGTTGCTGAGCTCCAGTTCTGGGCGGCGGACGAAGGATAAAGGCAGGACCAAGGCAGCCAAGATGGGGAGACCTTGGAGACCAAGTCCTAAAGAAGGTTGAAGGAGCTGGGCACGTGTCGCCCAGAGCAGAGAGAATCGGGACCCAGCGTCCAATCTTTGAAGGTCCAGCATGTGGCTGATGGACAGTTTTGTTTTCTGTCGGGCCAGAGCCGGCTTCCCCAGGGCAGGGTGCCACCGGATGTGTTGGATTACAACTCCCAGCATCCCCAAACTATTGGCCATGTGGGATTGCATTGATGGAAGCTGCTGTACAAGCCATGTGAGGGGTGCCAGAGGGAGATAGGCCGCCTTGGGGGAAGGATGGGATGCAACATGAGCTAATTTATTCCAGATCTATCCAGTTCTGCTCACAAATGGAAAAGTCAGGCTTAAATGAAGCTTTGGCACTTCCATTCTCTGAAGAATCCCTTGCCGTTGAATTGATCGTTGGCATGTGGTAAATGCATGTATGGCTGTGTCCTGGCAAGCCATCCTGGATGGTTCCCATCATGCACGGTTCTCTGCCTGGATGTGGCGAATAGACAATCAAAGGATTTCAATGCTAGCGTGATTTCCAAGCATCTTGCTCAGTCCTCCCACTGATGGCACAAAGCCCATCAGCCACCACACTGGAAATCCAATCCCACACTGGATGCCTGGAGCAGCTCCTGCAGCTGCCACTCTTGCCGGGGGACTCTATGGTAGCTGCATAGCAGGTCTGTGGAAACCACGATGCCAGGTTCAGACAAGCGGAGAAACCACGGTGAAGCATGGGAAACGTAGAACCAGCTCTTGTTGCTTATCGTGGTTTCTAAAGTCAAACGTACCACGCAGAAATTCCACAACGGGGTTCAGACAGCATCTTACTCGAGAAACCACCATGAATGCACCCCCCACCCCGTGTTGAATGGAGAGGCTCTGGTCATGAAAAAGCTGCCCCATGGTTGGGGTTGCATGTGTGGAGACTAGATCCGGGTTCTAGTCTCCACTTGGCATGAAATTCCCTGGGTGACTTTGGGCCAGGCACGGACCCTCAGCCCAGCCTACCTCGCAGGGTCGTTGTGAGGATGAAATGGAGCTATGTAAGCTGCCTTCAATCCCTCACACCAGGCAAAAAGGTGGGATAGAAATGCAATAATCATTATTTTTCCTATTTCTGTTCACCAAATAAGTTTATGCGTCCCTTGAACATCACAACTAGCTTGAATTTTAAGATGCTTCAACTCTGTGCAGTGGACATGGGAGTTGAACAGGGCAAGGTCCCTTGTTCTGGGGGGGGGGGCGGGGGGGGCTAGCAAGGGTCATCCGCCACCCACAGAAGAAGTTGTGACTTGCCAGAGGACCAAGCTGAGAACGATGGACAAGATCCATTCAGTCTCAAGGGTCTAGCTGTATAAAATGCGTCTGTGTTCAGACTCTCTTCACAAGCACGGCAGCCGTGGCATCTTTTTTAATCCTTTAGACTGTTTTTAGACAAACACTTAAATGTAAAGCAATAAAAGCAAATGTGAAAAAGCAAATGTGAAAATGGCTCGACTGGAAAATAAAACAAATATCTTTGTTATCAGCGATTCCCTTTTTTCCCCCCTCTCCTAAAAGTGCCTTCAATGAAAATGTGAGGCATGCTGGCTGGGAATGATGGAGGTTGCAGTCCAACACACCCAAACACTAAGGACCCCTCCTTGGTGTTTGAGAACCCTGCCAGTTTACAGTTTTGCCACAAGCTTCTAGTTCTCATGAATCCGCTCGGCAGGCTCTGCTTTTAATGGTCTCCCCCGCATGGAGATTTCACTGTGAGGTTCTTCTGCAGGTCAGGCAGGAATTGCTCCGACTGAGCTTTCTAATTTGGGAAGCATGGAGTTGCATAAGGGCCCGCTCCGCATGAGGTCCTACCCAGCAGGAGACCGGCAGCTGGCTTTTCTCCCTTCCACATACCCTCAGCAACCGTGCATATCACCCACAACAGGAAAAGCTACCTCCCCTCGAGGGCCAAACCCCCTGGAGAAGCAGGGGAGGGGTCCTTTGCCTTTGGCACTTTTTCTTTGTGGCCCACCCCCACCCCCCCGGGGCACCTTCCCCTCGCCTCCCCTCGTGGTCCCCAGCTGTGGTTGCTTTGCACCTTCCCTCTTAGAATCATAGAACAGTAGAGCTGGAAGGGGCCGCGAAGGCCATCCAGTCCACCCCCTGCTGTTGCAGGACACCGATTTACACCATCCCACTCAGAGGGCTGCCCAGTTTCTTTTTTAATGTCTCCAGTGTGGGAGATCCCCCCACCTCTCTGGGCAGCTGGTCCCACTGCTGTGTTGCTCTGAGAGCGAGGAAGCTTTTCCTGATGTCCAGCCTGAATCTGGGTTGTTGCAACTTGAATGGATTATTCCGTGTCCTACATTCTTGCTACTCGGCTGCAGGCAGAGAACTCGTCAGCAGCCCCGCAGAGGCCCTCTTGCTGCCGCCATCCATCGTCTGCTCCAATGCCCACCCTGGACGGAGGCCCGTCCGGCAGGGGAATGGAGGGGGGGCCCTGCGGGTCAGGCCAACGCCTCTCAGCCCAGCGCCCTTTCTCAGGCACGGCCCTGGGGAAGCTCACAAGCTTGTGCTCCCCGGCGAGCGCACTGGTATGGGCAGAGGCCTGCCTCGGGTCCCAGAGGGAGGGTCCAGCCATCACAGCCAGTAAATTTGTCCCAGGCTGGACCTGGGAGCAGGGAGATTCTGGTCCCCACTCAACTCGCTCTGGGCTGGTCACTCCCCCTCAGCCCGCCGATCTCACAGGGTTGCGGCTGTGAGCATAAAGCGGAGCCGAAGCCGCCTTGGGGTGGCTGTCCATACGCGCCCCTCCATGCCTAACGGAGTGACTGCTGGTGGTGAGGAGCCCAGCTTGGCGTGTTGCCGAGGCTGGTACGGTTCCTGACCCACGGTCCTGCAATTAAAGAGTTTTCTTTCAACAGGATTCTGTCTGTCTGTCAGTCTGTCGGTCTGTCGACTGGTTGATCCAAACCCCCCATCATTCCTGCCGTTTCCACATGAGCTTCGACCAACAAGCCAGGTTCGATCCTAACCACACGGAACAGTCCTGGGACTAAAGAGGGGAGGGCCCCACACCTTCTCTTTGCAAGCCGCTCCCCTCGGAGCGTTCCTAATGGTGGATCTCCAGGTGGCCTTCTCTACCTTCGAAAGGAGCAAGGATCCAGGTAGCTGCCGGTCTCCCATGGGGCCAGGCACAATGAAGATCTTGCGCGGGGGTGCGTGCGCGCATGCTGAACTGAATTGATACTGTGCCTGGGGGGGGGGGGTGAGTTACCCTTTCCCCCCGCTGCAGCTCCATTGCCAAAGCACCTGCATGGCTAGATCCCGTCTTTGCGCATGCCCACTGAAATTGGGATTCGGTCCCTTTGAGTTCAGTGGGTCTACTCTGAGTCAATCTGGATTTAACCCTCTGCATATAGCTGACTCCCCAATTCAGATTGGGACTGTGAAAGGTGCAAAGGAACGAAAACTGCTCCCCCACACACACACACAAAAATACCAGGTTCATTGAGGGCTGAAACCATGAATACTCTCATGTTCGGTTTAGCCATCAGTTTCTTTTTTCTGACATCTTTTAAGGGGGATTTCTCCCCACTAG